CACTGAGTTGTATGACTTAAAACCTCTACCTCTCTTGAATTAGCCAAAATATATTCAACTACACATAATTATTGCATTATAATAAATTCAGAAATTTTTATATGGAATTTCGTCATATTGATTTCTTAATATCATGGCTCTGACGGAAGCATGTTTAGTACCAGAAATAGAATTTGCATGGAATCTTAGAACTGACATTGTCGCGTTGTCGCCCTCACTAAAAGAAGCAAACTTGTCAAAATAAACCAAAGCTCGACAACAACATTTTGACCAATTGTCGCACTTTGAACAATATATATATTTTTAAACAAAGGATGACAATGCAACCACTATACACTTTTCAAACTAACAATATGTGATTATGTTAAAAAATACATCATTTATATTTTCTTTCAGACATGTCTGTATGTGAGGCTCAGAACTTATGAATCACCATTCGTACCTATTCTTTATACTTAGGCGGTTCTAACTTGAAAAAAATAGTGAATTAATTCATATGCATTGTGTACTTTCTCTGATGAGCGACCAAATAATATAATATTTGTTTCCCAATAGTCAATAAATTGAAGAACATGACACCGAGTGATGAAAGAACATTGGGCGTTCTGCCCCAGGCTCGCACCCATTGACCCCAAGCACGGAGGTATAAGAATGACGTCACGCTAAAAATAGCTTACCAGCGTAGTACATTACAGGTTGTGTTGCAATCTGGGAAAACCCTGGCTTAAGATAGACCAACGGCTATACATTCAAACATAGCCTAATCAGTATAATTAAAACTATACAATAGTATGTATGAAATTCCTTTAAAATAGAAAGGGTGCAATGTTGTCAGTTCTTCTATGTTTACATTAGTTGCATAGGTAAAAGAAGAATTGTTTTGTTACTGTAAACACGAGGCCGAACTAGGTCACATAACAGTCTTCTCCACTGAAGGCAAACAGTTGTGTAAACAAACCTTCGAGGAAGGCAGTCCTCTGTATCCACGGGTTAACATAAACACACAAGCACGTTTGTTATTGAAGGTAACCTAGGCCCGTCTCTGTAGTTTTGATAGGCTATGAAGTGGATAAACATATAAGCTCTATTTACATCGTGTAGGCTTCATTTCACGTGTAACCATGCCTGCTGACGGATGGAAAGCATATTTGTCTAGTATTTATTTGAATCCCAAACACCCAGCCTCCTTTTCTGGGCCTGCTAAGTTGTATCACATTGTGAAAAAGGAGGGGAAATTTGATATTAGTTTGCATCACATAAAGAAGTGGTTGACATCCCAAGATGCCTATTCGCTTCAGCGACCTTTAAGATACAAGTTCAAGCGGAACAGAGTGGTGGCTTCAGGCCTCAATGCTCGATGGGATATTGACTTGGCTGATGTATCTAATATAGCCTCCGACAATGACGGTGTGAAATACTTACTCATAGCTATAAATGTATTTACACGTTTTCTGTGGGTTGAGCCCCTTAAAAATAAAACACCGGATGCGGTCATTAAGGCCTTGAAGAAGATATTTTCCCGCGCTACCCTGCCACAAATTATACGATCAGACAAAGGTCGAGAATTTGAAAATAAGAAAATGAGGTCTTATTTAAGAAACAAGGGCATCACTTACTATGCCACACAATATGAAACCAAGGCTTCTTATGCCGAGAGAGTGATACGGACCCTCAAGACCACTATGTATAGATATTTCACCTACAAACAAACGTATCATTATTTGGATATTTTACGAGACCTCGTCCGGGATTATAACCACAGACCTCACAGATCATTGAATGAAAGATCACCCTCAGATATTAATGAAACGAATGAAGCTCTGGTATGGAAAGAACAATACATTGACACTTTGACGAGACCAGTCAAATCGAAAGCTGAAATCAAAAAGAAGTCAATGAAGAAACCCTTTAAATTTAAAGTGGGCGATCATTTGAGACATACATTTCAAAGAGACTATCAAGAAAAATGGACTGAGGAAATCTTTATTATCAGAAGAAGGTTCTATCGTGATGGTATGCCTATCTATCTGTTGAAAGATATGGCTGATGATCCGGTTCAAGGCAGTTTCTATGCAAATGAACTACAGAGAGTAGACAAGCCCGCAGACACTGTGTGGAGAGTGGAGAAGGTTTTGAAGAAAAGGAAGCGAGCTGGCGTAAAAGAGGTGTTTGTGAAATGGATGGGTTATCCCAAAAAGTTTAACAGTTGGATCCCAGAAACTGATCTTCAGAGTATATAAGGGTCTTCCTCTTATTCCAGTGTCAGTTGCATTTCTATCGTCATGGAGTCCACATCGTGTCCTGATTGTGGGAGACAGTTCTCTAGAAATGATAATATGCATAGACATAGGAGACTGATGCATTCATATCCTCCTCCTCCTCCGGGAACCTCACCTCCTCCTCCTCCTCCTCCTCCTCCTCCCACGTCTCCTCCTCCAGCACTAAAAGAACAGTTCTACTTTACCATTACATCCAATACTGTGGTGGTGGGTCCAAGTGGAAGTGGCAAGACTATGTTTGTGTACAACATTTTACTACAGAATCGCATCCAACCTGTACCCAATAACATTATCTGGTGTTATATGGAGTGGCAGCCTCTGTATCAGATAATCAGTGAACAGTTACCCTATGTGACGTTTGTGAAGGGGATTCCTTACAACCTGCAGGAGGATAACTATCTGGATGCACGGAATAACAACATGATTGTACTAGATGACCTCATGTCAGAGGCTAAAGATGATAAACGCATCTCCCAACTGTTCACCCGAACCTCTCACCATAAGAATGTCATTATTTTCTTACTGTTACAAAATCTGTTTCCCAGAGGTAAGGAGTCACGTGACATTGCTTTGAATTCTCATTACGTGACACTGTTTAATTCCCCTGTGGACAGACATCAAGTCAACTTGTTTGCCAGGCGCATCTATCCAAACAATGCTGATCAGTTTATGTCTGTGTATAAAGAAGCTGTTGAAAAACCCTATGGCAATCTGACAATCGACTTGCGTCCTACTACCTTGGAATCAGGAAGACTACAACCTAATGTACTTGGAACACCCCACAGCCCATAAAAGAGGAGCAGGCTGTCAATCAGTATCATTTGAAGCCAGACACCAGAAGAAATCACATCTCAGAAGTAGCCGCTCCAGTGGACAGTGAATCAGAGGACGACACTAGTGATACAAGTATGCCTTCCTGTGACGAGTGTGGTATTGTGTTTGAAAATAATCATGACCTTCAGCATCATGTCAGATCATGGTGCCCTGAGAATGGAGGGGGACCCCTAAGGAAACGAGTTAAAATGGAGACAGCTGATGAAAGCGATGTTCTACAGCCTACAATGACCTCTAAATTCAGTGAAGCTGATAAAGAGTGGGAGGTGAAAGGGTTAGAATACATGTGGAAACACACTCTAAAGCACTGTCAAGATGATGTCTTTAAGAAGAAAGAGGAGTATGAAGATCAGGGGAAAAGTGAGAGATGGATTGAAAACAAGCTCAAGAAATGCTTGGAAGCTACCTTTCTAGATCGAATGGCAACAGCTATCCGATATGTGAGTTACTTTGGATATGGACCCCTCTTCAAGCCTATCCTGGAGAAAGTGAGAGCTATGGATCCCGATATTGATTCCAAAGGATTGTCTGCTAAAATCAACAAGTGGATGAAACCTGTTGTCAAAGACATTCTGTCTCATGTAGATCTTTCTGAGGCTGAAGATCTAGAGCGTGAACAGTCAGATGTTGATGATGATGATGCCACAGATACTGAATAATCACTCCATGTACATTTTTACTGTTATTGTCTTAATATTTGATTTTTGTGTTTTAATGAAATAAACCGTGTGTTAACAGTTTTACATTTCTGTCTGTTTTTCATATGTAATTACATCAATCCTTGCGGTGAAACTGATACAGAATAGCTGTAGGATTATCATTGCAGTAAGAAATTCCCTCAGCAAGTGTTCAACAACAACAAAAATAACAGAGCATCGACGTTTAATGTGTGTATTTATTCACATTTAAGTCATTCAAAGGTGATACAACTGTACAACAAGCAACATAATGTTTTAATCACATAAAGTCCATAGACCCTCAGTACAGTAAACGTTACCTTCCCCAGTTGCAATAAAACTATGTACTGTGTCAACATTGCTGTGAATGCTGTTACTGGGGGAAATGGGTCAGGTATTTACACTCGGTATTTACAACTGTGAGGTGACAGAATAATACCTCATAACAAATACATATGAAAGTTTAATTACATATGGCATGCATACAGATGTAGATAAAATATAGGAAACATTTTACCAGGGATCGTTATATACAAACATACAATACAAGAACACTGAAGGCATGAAATGGTTCTTATGTAGTTAAAACACTTTACACATTGGTAGAAGGAATTTTATAGTGTCCATGAGCTAACGTATGAATCTTATCTTTCAAAACAAATCTTTTATCATCATAAGGGCTTAAACTGATTTTGTTTATACTGACAGAGGGGAGTTGATGGTTTTGACTCTGAATTTGATTCATGTTGTGTCTAAATTGGTTTTGATCAAACAAACAGTCTTTGTACAGGCTGTGCCTTAATTGTTTCTTGATCACTGTTTTGCTCACTCCCTTAGCCGTTTGCTTCTCTTTTCCCTTATATGATAAGGAATATAGTTTAGGTTTAAGACCAACAAACTCCTCCATAGGGACACCTCCGAGTTCATCCTTCATCTTGGCTAGCACCTTGGCATTGGTTTTGGAATAGAGTGGATGTGATTTATCATAGTTACTGGTGTCAAACATATGCCGATGTTCTGCCATATCAATCTCATTAAAATCAGATCTTAGTTCTCGCTACCGCTAAACAAAGATCTGAGGACATCCCATTACGGGTCATGTCACAACGACCTTTCGTGAACTTCGACCGACCAATCAAATGTCCAACAGGAAGTCGAAATTAGCCAATCAGGAAGCAGCTTTCTCCAGTTTTATGGCACCGGTTTCAAAATGGCGACTTCCATACCGGACAACGCTTTGGAAACTATTTTGACAAAGTTCGCGATTCCAAATCTGAAAACCGGACAAAAGAAAATTCTGGAGTGTCTGATAGATGGCCGAGATTGCATGGCAGTACTTCCCACGGGATATGGAAAGTCTCTTCCGTTTCAGATGTTTATCCCATTGAAGCGCCAGATAGATCATCATTTTGACGAGAAGCTTCTTGTTTGTTCACCGCTGGTTTCTCTGATGCAAGATCAAGTGGAAAAACTGACAAATATCGATGATATTACAGCGGCCTATAAAGGTTGGTATTTACAAATAAATGTTAATTCAAATAAATAAAATTTCGCATTGTGATTAAAATAATGTCTAGATCTACTATACACTGCAGTTACGTAACCCATACATTGGCATAAGGGATAATAAATGACCAGTCCTTAAAGGGGCACTGATATAAAGCCATTCCCCAGGACTGGTTGTTGCCTTTGTTATTGTTTTTTACCCGTGAGTACCCGGATGAAACGCAACGCAACTCAATCTCATTAAAAGCATTTTCGGATTTCGGATTGCGTCGATAATACGATTACTACTCCCTTGTTGTCATCCTCGTTTTCTGGTATAACCCTACACTTGTATATTTGTTGGCATTCACTTGATGCTCAGTTAATGAATTTATTACAGGTATAATTAGTGGTAGCACCACTTAGATAACCTGACAAAGGTTCCCATTTGCCATTTATTGTGTCTGGGGTAATTATCCAATCTAAATCCAGGTTTGAAGTGAGGTGAAATGTGTGTTATGTAATATGCACGTGGCAGCCCAGCAAGAGATGAATGATCAGTTGATTTACTTTTTTTGGTAAATCAACGGATCGTTCCTAGTCATCAAAGGATTAACAGAAATTACGTTGATTGATTAATCACTGTTATCTTACACAGTGGGTTTGTCAAAAGTGAGTGTTTATACGTCTAGGTTTACTAAAACAAAGGGAATACACTCATATCATGGCGTGAAGTGCCGATGTAAAAACAAAATACTTTGTTCAAAGGGTTAACCAATAGTACGTTGATTGCTCATTGTTATCTAACTCAATGGATTTTTTCAGGAACCGTGGACGTTATAAAAATAGTTGTCACGTGGGCTTTCTCAGCCGACCCTTGAGACTTGACGCCTATGTAAAACACCTGAAACAATCTAAGTGATCAGTTGACAAACAAACACAGGTTATAATATCCCGAAACGATATACAGATATATTTTAAAATATTTGATTGCTACAGAGACACATGACATCGAATAAGTTCTTTGTACAGCTGCAGACGTGTAGGATATTGTTCCTTTGTATGGATATTCACGGATACATTCCTCGAACAAGGAAGCTGCCTAAAATTATATACATAAATTTGGTAGGTTGTTATTATGATATTCGCATTTTGTTTTCCTTCAGTTACTGTAGCACTGAAAAGATTCATTCTTGTTCCTCTACGTCTTGGTTGGTGAGAGGAGTGCGTTGTATAATAAAACTGACAAATGCGCTTACGAATTGCGCAGCACGTGTCGCGAACTAGTCTAGATTTTTGCTATATCATCTGGGTACTCACGGGAAGAAACAATAACAAAGGCAACAACCAGTCCCGGGGAATTGCGTTAGATCAGTGCCCCTTTAAATACTGTTGCGCCCAACCCCCCCACACCACCCGGAAAAATGAATTATTTAATTAAAATAGAAAACTGAACAAAAATTAATAGCAGTCCTAAACAATAGATCATTATAAGTGAGTAAAATGATTTGAAGACAAGAAAGGTACTTGTAATAATCATCTGTCTTTTGTTTTATCTTTATAGGGGCTAGTGCTGTGAGTGACCAACGTATTAGGGATGGAGAAATTGATATCATCTATGCCTCTCCAGAAGCCTTAATTGGTGATCCGGAGTGGAGATCGGCCATACAGAAGTTGAATATTTCATCTATTGTAGTGGATGAATTTCACACAATAGCCACATGGTAGGTTCACATGTAGGGCGAAATTAGTGTAATGCTTCAACAATAATTTCAGGTTTTCATCAATTTAAATTAATAATACAGTGTAATATCCTGAGGGCAATTGGAAGCAGATTTCCATTTTATCATGGCTTATGACCATTAACTGTGGATATATTTAAAAGAAAATTTACATATCATTTTTTAACATTTTCATTTTCAGGGGAGAAGATACTGATGATTCTGGGAAGAAAGCCTTCAGGAAATGGTTTTCCTACATTGGGGAGCTACGTTCTCTCTTTCCTGATGCCAATATTTTGGCCTTAAGTGCCACATGCACTCTAAACATCAGGAAAAGAGTGAAAAAAGTTTTGAATTTGAAAGCAGATACAGTTGAAATTTCAGTAAGCCCTAACAAGCCAAATATTAAATTTGTCATATCAAAGGTCCATACTTGTATTGAAATTGCAATGTGCTGGCTTGTAGATGGATTGAATACTAAACAGAAAGCTTTCCCCAGGACAATTATTTACTGCAGGACAATCAAAGATACCGCATGTTTATTTCAATACATCACCACCGAAATACCTGAATGTGTAGAGTTTGTTGACATGTACCATTCACTTACTCCCTCTGTGCAGAAGGATAAGATCATGGAAGGCCTAAGAAGTCCAACAGGTACCCTCCGATTGGTCATTGCCACAAGTGCACTTGGAATGGGTATTGACATTGTTTCATTTTACAGTGTAGTAGTGTTTGGCCTATCCGACACACTTGTTGACCTACTCCAGGAAATCGGGCGGGTTGGAAGAGATGGAAAACCTTCTGCAGCCCTACTATTGTACAATTCTTACCATTTACGAAGTGTTGGGAAGGAAGTCAAAGAAATTACTATGTGTACAGGGTGCAGAAGAGAAGCCATCATGTCATCCTTCTTAAACCCTGAAGACATGGAGAAACTGAAGGAAACTACTCGAGTCCATGCATGTTGTGATGCTTGTGCAACACATTGTGCTTGTGGTGTGTGCACTTCTCTGCCGATTGAAGACATGTTTCATTCAATAGATGGTTGTGAGGACGCAAATGACAGTGCAGACAGTGATGTCACCGTCGATTACCAATGCATTTCAGACTTTGATGATAGTTTTGACATTGATTTGTAACTGCATTGATACATCTGTATGTGTGTCTTATTGTCACGATTAAAATCAGATCTGACTGTTGCACTCTTCCAGTCTTTGGCAATCTAAACACTTTTAGCAGTCCTAATGAGGAATGAGAAATGTTTTTTTATGCTGCTTTTAGCAGTATTACAGCAATATCACGACATGACTCGTTAACATTTAAGAATATGTCTATTTTGTTGTTTGGTTTGGTTTGTTTGTTGTTTAACGCCGCACTCAGCAATATTCGAGCTATATGACGGCAGTCTGTAATTAATCAAGTCTGGACCAGTCAGTCCTATTTTGTGGGGTGGTAGGGTAGTCAAGTGGTTAAAGCGATGGCTCATGACACCAAAGACCCGGGTTCGATCACACACATGGGTACAATGTGTCAAGCCAATTTCTGGTGTTCCCCTCCGTGATATTGCTGCAATATTGCTAAAAGTGGCGTGAAAACATACCATGTATTTGTCTTAATTATTCGGCATTCATATTTTCAGATTAGATAGCAAATAACAGTTTTATCTGATTCTGATTCAAAAATAACAAAACTTCTATGTATCATGCCAAGTGACATAAAGAAATTTAACACATGAACATTCACTTACTTTCATTTAATGTTGTACTAGTAAGGGTGTATATTATTCTCAAGTGACAACAGGAAACGTATTACATATGGATGGAACAACATAAACCTGTAACGTTACCATCAGTCTACATAATTTGAAGGAGCACAGGGGTTGTGACAATAATCCACGATCACTAATATCAGAAGTGTTTTTTCTACCTATTCAGCCAATAGGTAACTGAAACAAGGTTTTTTTGGTCAAAGTTCACACATGAATTGTTTTCTTTGGATACACAATAGAAACATAACATATCAATGCATTGAATGCAATACATGTTTTGTGTAATAAGAGCTGGTTATGTTCATTTTCATTTATAAGAAATAATAGTATCTTAGCCACTGACATGCAGCACACCTACTAGCCTGAACATTTCTCTTAACACCTTTTTTATTAGATTTTAATGTTATCATGGTCGATTATTAGCTGAGATAACTAGACCGAACAGAATTTTACTGGACTCTGGCTTCAGACTAGAGGATCAAGTTGTAGTGTAGTAGGTATCTTGAGTATAGGGAAACTTCTGTTTTAAACAATGTGTAAATTTTCCACAAAATGTTTAGGCCACTGTAAACTACAATAAATACATAAACTCATATCTTTATAACATACATGTTAGTGAAGAGTGATCTTTGTTTTGGAGTGATGAGTTACAAAGCATGTCTATTATCCTTGAGTACCGGTATATAACAGTTAGTTATAATGCCATCATCATACCAACAAGTGTCAGTTAGCACTTTTGCCCGAACAGCATATCTTGTTAAACGTGATGGTCTCTGAGTCTCCTAAATGGCACAGAAGGCTTGTGTCTGAGGACCATTGTTGACAGTCCATGAAAACACTTGTCAAAAGGGTTTCTTTCTGTCACAAGCTCCTTGCAGTGAAGGGTCGCTGATTTTGTGGGTTCACAGCATCAATTTCAATCAAATCCTTTACTACTTTTGCAACATCTTCCTTGAAGGATGGCAAGTGGTGGAATCCTTTACTCTTCCGTACAGCACACAAGGAATCGAAATGTCTGATTGAGTTTGTAAGATGGGGGTACTCCTTTGAATGGCGAATGATGCTCTCCTTTGTTTTGTACCCAGAACAGGCAATCTTGCTGTCTCTGTTTAGCACCTCGATGAACTCATCTAGGGCAATATTGTGATTTCTGCCACCTTGCAAATTAATGAATCGGTTAGCAACAAACCTTTCTGTCTGCTCCTTGGGCAACAACCCTGAAGACAGTGATGTTAAATGAATGGACCCAATGCAGTACTTTACCTTGTTGGTTCTGTTGTAGATTGGCAGTTCATATTTTGCTGATCTCACTGACCTCTCGCCACCACCAATGTCCACAGCTGTGTCCAAGTTTTTGTGCAACAGCAAAAGTTTGAAAAGCATGAGGATGTAGCTGTGTAGTTCATCACCACCAGTACCCTTTGATTTTTTAAGGGGCTTTTCAATTCCAACATTATGGACTTTCTTTTCATGTGACATCAAAGATCCAACATATGCATATGATTTGTCACAAAAATGACAATGGATTCGGCCAGTGTCTTGGTCCAGATTTGCCAGCCAGTAGTTTTCTGGATGATCTTTGTCAGTAATCACTTCTCTGAGGTAATGAAATACATCCTGTGTGCTGTCGAAGAACCACTTCCTCAGAATTGTGCTGCAGATGTCATTCAACCATCCGATCTTGTCCTCATCTGACATGTCAGAAAAACCATCAGGTAATGGTATATCAGCGTCCAAATCCTCAATACCAAAATGTTGCATGAAGAGGGCAAGGCACACACCTTCCAATACTGTATAATATAGTATCTTGTAGAGTCGATAAGCATTCTTGACCTTGCCCTTGACGTTCCTTGCATTCAAGAGATTTCTGTAGTAATGCATAGTGCCTCTGTCATTGACACTTTTCGTGCTGTAGGTCATTTTGGTCACTGCCTAAAAGCAACAAAACAAGGAAACAATAACATACTGTTTACTTATAATAACATGAATTTTTTCGAAAAATAATTAGCATATGAAACAAATGATATACATGAAATATTCACTAAATATAAGGTTAAAATCTTCAGGCATGATTGTAAGTTTCTTTAGTAGGTTGCTTCTACATTTTTGTATGCACTATATATTTTGTCCCTCCAATGTTATGCAATGACCTATTGTCAAAAAGGCTAGACAAGAATATTTCTCTGGTTAAAATGTAAACCAGATATGTAGAGATAAGTAAGAACACATATTTCCAGACAGAAACAAGATGATGCTATCAATTATATATTGTGCCTAATATTTACCTCCAAAAAGTTCATTAGTCTGTGAAAGTCTTCTGTTTTGGAGATGAAACCTTCCAATTTCTCTTTTGCTGTTGGGGCATTTCTCATGGCATTTTGTGCCCCCTGCACTCTCTCGTCTGTCAGCCTGTCCCCTGTCAATATAAACAAGCATGTATTAACACATCGGACACAGCAATAGTTTGTATTGAAACTTTATGTGCAGGACAGATTAAATATTTTCTTAAAAAGTAACTTTAGTTCTGTGCAATAATGTACCTGATAAATATTGAATAGTTTTGTTGATATTCATTTGTAGTGATAATAAGATATTGCATTATATGAGAGAGAGAGGGGGACAGACAGGCAGACAGAGAGAGACACACAGAGAGAGAGACGTACCTCCCAAGAAGACTGACTCCACTATATCACCATCTGACATTGGCACATACTTCTCCAGTGAGTTTGCCAACAGGGTAATGAGCTCTTGTGTAAGGTTTTCATTACAGTCGAATAAGCCCAGAGGATACTGCAAATTTAATTTAATTCAATAAACAACAAAAATGTATTCATTCATTCTCATTAAACTCTTAACACAACAACACAAAATGATTACAAATATCTCTGACTTACATTGAATAGCTCTCGTCATTAAATAATATGATCACATTATTAAACCTGACCAAAATACAAAGTTATATCATACCTGAACTGTTTTGACACCAGCAGTGGCACTGTAAGTGTGATGCAGGTGTTTGGGGTAGATAGCCTTGAAACATCTCTCCAGCTTTGGTATGTTGTTGACAACTGCTGTTGCAACTATGAACGTCAATTCTTTCATCAGCTGATCCTGTTCATCACAAGATGGAATGAAATGTGAAGCATCCAGTTGTGCAGCATCAAGGACCTTACAAAAGCCAACAGCAGGTGATGGTATAACTCTGTCCACAACTGCATACATATTGAAAAGATGCAGGGAGACAGTCTTCCGATCAGATGTCCGATAAGAAGGGAGAATGTTCTTATCCCAGTTGTCTCCAACTAACTGGTACTTGGTAGATCCACCATTTGCCCATGCGTCTCTAAGAGCAAGAAGCTCAGCATCCAGATTGGCCTGCCAACTAATCAATTTCCGGTGTACGGTTTTCGGGTGTACACACATACCAAGCTGTGCTAGCCGTTCAATGTTCTGAAGTAAATACAAATACACATGAATGAATGAATGAATGAATGAATGAATGAATGAATGAATGAATGAATGAACTAGCCGTTCAATGTTCTGAAGTAAATACAAATACACATGAATGAATGAATGAATGAATGAATGAATGAATGAATGAATGAATGAATGACATAAGAAGCTAAGAACGTTATTCTGCAATAGCTTCCTATCCCTTACCCAGTAGGCTTTTAACGATTTGGCCATACTGCCCTCGGGTGGTCCATACTAGCCGTTCAATGTTCTGAAGTAAATACAAATACACATGAATGAATGAATGAATGAATGAATGAATGAATGAATGAATGAATGAATGAATGAATGAATGAATGAATGAATGAATGAATGAATGAATGAATGAATGAATGAATGAATGAATGACATAAGAAGCTAAGAACGTTATTCTGCAATAGCTTCCTATCCCTTACCCAGTAGGCTTTTAACGATTTGGCCATACTGCCCTCGGGTGGTCCATCAAAACAACCAAATGTAGGCAGAGGGATGTCTGACTGTCCAGTTATGATGATGAAATATAGACAAAAATATTGTTGGGGCCCAAAACATGCATCCAAATAGATCTAACACACAACAAATAAATTATTAGCCAAATATTAAATCTCTTTTAAAGACCAGTACCTTTTGTGTACATCCACCATGCATCAGTACAAATGCAGTAACATACTGCATTACTGACATTTCTCTGTTTCTGCCATGAAGAGAAACTGCAGCAGTCATCATAACATGTCTGAAGTGTTTGCTGTTGGAATCTGGATTGCTGTCACAAACTGCAGCCTCCAATAGTGCAAGAAAGCCAGGGCACTGGGTCTTGAGGTCCTTATGAAAGTCCTCCCAAGTGAAATGTAGAAGATTGTCATAGCTTTTATCTTGCATGACAGTACCAGAACCCCTCTGGCACAGCTCTTGGCACTCGTCTTTTACAACCCTGGCACTGGCTTCAATAATTGCTTCTGGCTTAGCACTCCTTATTTGATCCGCCACAACTTTCTCCACATTGCTCCCTCGTGCAATTGTCATGCACATTCTCTTGTGTGTGTCATCCGTAAGTATGGTGGTCTTCTTCCCACTCGGATACCACACAGTCACCTAAATAAAGAACAAACATATACAGAATGAATATAGTGTTGTCCACTCCATAGCAACACCCTCATTACATATTCAACAAAAATAGTTAGGGACCATGAATATGTTTTTATGAAATTGTGTGCTCAGTCTTTACTACACACATCTCTCCATGATTCCTTGATTGTTTGTTCAGTGTATAACTGCTCATACTCTCATGCCTGATATCAAGTTATTCATATGTTTAAGATTTGCTGTAAATACAAACAGTGAAAATGTATCAATGGGATTTAAATAAAATTAAGTTATTAAGTTACCAAAACATGAAACACAAATGAAGAAAGCATGCTGAGCAGGTTGATATTGATCATAAAGGAACTGAGAAGACTGTAATTATTTCAAGAAAACACATTAAACCTCTTACCAATCTGGCATCTGTTTGAGAAAGAATGCTCAGACCAAAAGAAATTAACATCACCCAGAATTTGTTCACCACTTTATGGTGAATTGCACCGTATAAGTACTTGAGGGAAATATTCAAGCAAATAGCATGAGTTGGAAATAATTTCTTTTGGTTTGAAATATACAAATTTGATAATTTTGTTAGAACATGGTGATTGGAAACTCAGGTCATCATTAGCTTTATATATAGTTATTAGTAATAGTAAACATAACAAATATCAACTAAACAATATGGTAGTATTCACAGTCAAATGAAATTAATATATCATTCTGGTATTCAATATTTCAATTAGAATTGATGTCTTATTTTAATTAATGTATTCAAATCAGATAACACTGCAAAAAATAAGCATCTGATTTTAGTAAGATTGGAACATAAATGATATTTAAATTACATAACTTTCACTCTGTATGATATAAGCATATAATGTTCCAAGGATGAACCCATACTGTACTGTAAAAAGTCATCACAGAGAATATTGAGCAGTCCTACTATAAAATACTTAACATAAATTATCCTTGAACAGTCCATTATAAGTTTTAGTGATCAACATGTTAAAAATAACACCAAAATATAAACAGCATGTCAAAAGAATACAGGTTATTGACCAATAATCTGTTATCAGGTTACTATGGTTACAAAAATAACACTCACTCAGGTGCTAAATTTCACTGTCTTTTCTTTAAACAGAAATGTCACTTTTACTTTACACCCGATACTTTAGCTACCCCATAGAAGTAGATAAGATCATTTCTATCTGCTTGAACTCCAATCAAAAATCAAAGCATCATGAATGATGGACATCCTAACACATGCTGTTTGCACCTCTACTTCTCCATCTGGCCTGTCTTTTTCAGTTTCTGTTTCTAAATGATCAAATTTAATTGATCTTTTTGCTGTTCTTTTTGTGGATCTTTCTGTTCTATCAGCTGAGGGACATTGAAAATTAACATTAAATTTTTCTCATGAAAGTACACGTTCCTAGATTCTACTGCATGGCTAATTTTTGTGAAGATAATATTAACATAAAACATTACTTATTTCAAGTTTAAAATCTTTGTGTGCATAATTTACAGATCAACAGATTATATTTCTCACATAATTGTTTCAGTAATGTAATATTAACCATAAATGATGTGTCACATGTGCTATGACAAAGTGATATTTGTGAGTTGATACATGTAGTATAAGTATTATTGAATACATTATTTATTGCAAATACATACGAGAATTTATTTTCTAATTTTTTTACATACCTGCATACGTTGGCAAGTTCTCGATACCTGGCATCTGTGGTATGTCTGAACAAATTGGGCGTCTTGTCGAGTTGGTGGCAAATGGCAGTGCCTGTAAAGGCAGAAGCTGTATGGGGTGCTTCCGTACGACTGTAGCCGGGAATGGTTTTGGTGCTTTAGGCTGTTGTATCGACAGTGGAGATCTGAGGAGTCTTTTCGTCACGGTATGCTTTCGTGGTGATGGCAAAGTCAGGCGGATATTTTCTACAGTCTTCCATGACAGTCTCAGTGAAGTGGTTTGATTTTCAATTTCTTTTGTCATTTTACGAATATTTTCAACACGCCTGTAGCATTTCACGCACACGCCGTTTGAATCGTCAGTTGAAGATTCGACAAAGTCAGGTATGACTGACCTAATGTTATTCACACGTTCGACGCTGAGTTTAAGTTTCTTACTGAAATGTTTCAACACCACTTTTTCTCCCGTAGGCAACACCGACGTTTCCACGAAGGAAAACGCACACGTTACACATATACTTGTTCGGCAGTATATCCGTTTTGGAGTCTCAGCGGACATGGCTTATGACTTGTCATATATTTCAAGCGACGAAATCGTGCAAAATAATTCATGAAACAACTTTCCAATGCATTTGTCTAACCTGTGTCAACAATGGCTGCCTCCATGTCTAGCATTCGGAATAAGTCGTATCGCCCGTAACTGTCGTTCGGAATACCCCGTTATTCTATTTACGAGATTGCATGATTAGGAAACGTATTCTGATTGTCACTTTCACGATTTGGTAAGCGACGCTCTGATTGGTCGGATGAAAGGTCGTTCTGACATGACCCGTAATGGCATGTCCTCAGATCTTTGTTTAGCGGTAGCGAGAACTAGGATCTGATTTTAATGAGATTGCTGCCATATCAGCGTACAAGTTTGGTGTTTCAATTAAATAGCACAAGGAATCTGTATATGTGAAACACAGCTGTGCCTTCTCACCATACTTGAGCTTAATATGATTATAGTGAAAGTCATACATGACAATCTTTAACAGGTCCAAAATAGAAAAGCCTGCATAGACAGGTTGATTCAGATACAAGCTAGTCTTTTCCAGGTGAACAGCTGCTAAATCTTCATTGAATATTTTGAACGCCTCAAAGGTGGGTTTAGCACATAATTTTTTCAAACGTTTGGATGAATTGACTAGTTCTACATTGACATGCTTCCTCACATTCATCATTGTCCTTCCAAACACTGAGTTATTAGCCAATTTAAAGAAAGCTTTATCCGTCTCGTCTTAGCCTCTTTTCTTTTCTGGGTATTAAAATCTATATAGGGCTTCAACCATGTGGACTGTTTGAACTGAATAGCTCTGTGAATTTTAGACAGTTTCATACCCTGACTCAGATAAAACTGTAAGTTCCTATAATGCAGAACATACTTTTGCTTGTCATACAGATTTGGAACGAGTTTTCTGACAGGCTGTCCTTTGATACATAACTTTTCTTTGAGTTTCTTTGAATAATGAGATAACATGTCATCAGTGATTGTCATAGACTCTGGGGCTAAAGGATAATCATTGTGACTGTCATGTAACTGTTGGGGATATTCAAGATGTACCTCCAGTATATATCCTATGTCAGAGTCAGAAGCTACATCTTTAATGTTTAACTGTTCTAAATCATCATCAGCAACCCAATGAAAGTCACATTCAGGTAGGGCTTGAGACATGGCCCACCCATACAGGTTGTTCACATCCAGATAAATGAGGTAAGAATTAGGATCGCTGGGGTTATATTCCTTAACATGTGGATTGTTACTTTCCGCATACCTGGTCGAAATCATGGATATGCCACCCCTTAGTCCGTTTTCAATCATTAAATGCATGTCTAAATCAGTTAGCAATTCTAACTCTACATTGCCCATTTTCAGCATGGCATCCCATCCCAAACCAGGAAGAGTATAATAATGAGCTGCATCAAGATGATAATATTCCAAGGAAGTGTCTCTAAAATTTTCAAAAATGTCGGCTAATAAGAGAACATGAGTTTTCATATAGAGATCATGATAGTCTCCCATGGTTTTGAGATCAAAGGTAGACCATACATTTTGAGATAGAACTATCAGTCAAATTATTGTAGAAGTGATTTTGGGTGGGAAGTTCACACATTGCAAATTTAGACTCGTCATCCATAAAGTCATAGGCGTACACCCCTTTTCTCAACAATAACTTTAATTGTGTTTCATCGGGATATTCCTGTCTTAAATTCACAAATTTGTCAGAACCTTCATCAGCCAAGTTTTCCACCAAGGTGTCTAGAGATGCATTGAGAAACTGTAAAGAGTCAATGAACCTGAGGTTACCAATAGAAAAGGAAATGTATTTTTCCATGTTGTTGGCCAAGCAGTCAATTTTTTCTTTGACAGTCTTATTCAGTTGTTTCATAATCAAATGGCTATCGTAGCCACGGAGGTTGTGAAAGATCACAGGGATAAAGAATTCTTCCCTTGGAAAACTTTGTTTACCTTTCACCTTTCTAAACTGAAATTGCAGATTACATTTTTGATGGGCAGCCCCTCGATAGTTATACCCCTCTTCTAAATGGTCGTGGTCACGAACCTTGATAGATTCTTCATCAAAGGGTTTCTGACAAATATGACATGTATCTGCCATTTGAAATGCCAACTCGTCAGTTTCAGTCATTTTTAAAGTTTCAGGAACTTCAAGCTTTTCATAGATGAGATGTGCTTCACCCAACAAGCATTCAATAAAATGCGAAATGACTTCAGGGCCTCTATAGGTCACTGCAGGTTTTGTACCAGTAGGTTTTGAACAAACTACCTTATAGCAGAAACCAGAGGGTTCATGTTTCTGAAAGACCGAAGTATAAGAGGAGTTAGGACTAGGCTGACAACCACTCACTTTTCGTGTTATTGCTTCAAAGTCGCAGTAAATGGCACAGGGTACACGCAGCTGTTTGCAAATACTTTTAAACTTCACCAATGTTTGTTTCTCACTTTGAGGTAACTTAATTTTCTGAATAGAGTGAGTGGAACAGTGAAGACTATGATCTTAGAAAAAAAATCTGATCTAGTAAACCCATGGAGGCATCGTTTACAATAATATGTGGTACCATGATGTTTGGTCCTGTCTCCCATAAGTCGACTAAAGCTTCGAATTAGACAAAAGTGTCTTTTGTCTTCCTGACTTAGAAGCAATAAATCTACTGCTGGATTGAAACTATTTGAACTTATATGTAACGGGAACACGCCATCATCTTCTTCATAACCGAATACATTGACAGAAATGTCATTTTGCGTTTCAAATTTTGAAATTTGGGAGAGGGATACAGGTATATCAATGCCTTTCAAGTCAAGTTCATGTTCATACGCATTATATTTTTTAACTCTTTCAGGATGATTTTTTCTATCTACTGGATGCAGGGCAGCTAGTATGGACCATATGAAACACTTTTGATCATCATTCTTTATGTTCAAAATGGCTTTCTTGTCAACAAGATAATCAGGTAGAGGAATGTAAGAACTTGCGACCAGGGGGGCATACTCAGCTGTGTTCACTTCAACATGAATAATATGGTCTAGCACCCACCCACTCCCTTCAGCCTGAAATTCCTGTGATGATGTATATAATTTCTGATAAGCCTCTGCTAACTGTTGCTCAATTTCAGAAACGTTTGTGGACCAAGAGTTGATAGTTCTCAGAATGGGCTCTGCTAATATACTTTCATTGTTTTCGTCGTATTTTATAAATTTGAGTTTTAACGTTAGAAACCATTGCATACCTTTTTTACTTGACAAATAATCATGTAAGATTGATTCAATAACACTTAATAAACACTTGGTGTGACCACACCAGTTACAGGTTGCTACTCGAGCCGGTGGAGTATTATCAGGTGACAGTGGTTGTAAGCAGGGACGTTTCGGTTCGGGGCAAGTCTGTGTTGACTTCCGTTTAAGGTTACAGCGGTGATTTTCCAAGTTATCCCGTCTGATGAAGGAGTGTTTACAATCTTTACAGGTGATTTTTTCATTGCCGTGAACAGTACGAATATGTCTAAGCAAACTTTGACGCTGCTTAAACGACTTCTGGCAGATGTGACAAATGTTACCTATGGGCGACACTGGTGTAGATACAGATTGTGCATTCACTCTTGATGTTAACAATTAAATTCGTTTGAGATTGACTTCTGGATCATCTATACAATTGTTAGCAGTGGCCCAAGTTTCCAACTCAGACAGTGTCTTCACACTGTTCAGAAAGTTTTGTTTCGATTCCATTCTACAAACAAAATAAAATAAAAATTACCTGTAGATGTTCTTAAAATTAACAAACAGAATTTCTACTTGATAAATGCATAGTAAGTTCGATGTTGTGGTCTCGGTTGCAAATTATACCAGTACTGTATCATAAGGATAGCATTATATTTTGTTATCTCAACGAAAAAATACTTCATCTTCATTATTTAACAATATGACAGCGTCTAAGATATAGCTTTGAAAGCAAGGTGTATGTGCTTGAATTGCATTCAATTACCTTTGTAAACACAAACCGCGAACTGTACGTGAGTCAAGGCTAAAGATGATAGCGTACTGGCAAACGTCCGTCTTGGTTGCTGGCAGACTAGTCTGTCTTACAGACCCTGATACAAATATATATCAAATACAGCCCATGCAAGTCTATAATGTTTGGCAAGTCTAGATCACTGCAGTATCAGGAAATGAAGAGAGTCATTGGGCTCCTTTTTATTATATTTTTTATTAAGATAACTGAACAACTGTTTTTTTTATGTACGATATGTTCATTTCAGAGACTAGATTTTAGTCTACTGGCAGACAACAATATGTAATTTCAATGCCGCTCTTCCGTTTATAAAGGTTAGAAAAGGACGAGTTCATTGTGTGCAGATGATAAACGTTTCCATGCACACATATGACATTTTCCATTGCATACATGCGAGGGGTGATATGTGTGGCCACTATACATCCTTAGACTGAACCTCTGGCGTGTTTTATGAATGAATCACCCCTACATCATAGACTCAACTGAAAGACCCCTGACATGTCTGAGCTTGTTTAAACACTCTTCAACGGATCACTACACAGCTCTTCTATAGGTCACTACAGACGGTGAACAGATGTAAGGGCAGCGTCCCGCATACCACTCTGATGAGTCACCATATCAACAAAGCAGTTTCTCTCAGCATGAAAACACTATAGATACACTTTATTACAATATTTCAACTACGTAGCAGTTTGTATGTAAACTATCACATTTATTTTAGATATGCTAGTAGTTTTATGACAAGGCGTCTTCATAACATAAATATGAATATTTTAAGAAAAACACACACACAAAAAAACAGCTTACATAGCGTGTGTCAACCTGACGCCCGTAGGTAAATACATTTCCCAAGAAAGAAAGTTTTAAAACATACAACATAAATTGTTCACATAACATACTACATAAACCTTAATACATATGTACACCTTTCCTCATTTGAATGTGTAACCGTTGGTCTATCTTAAGCCAGGGTTTTCCCAGATTGCAACACAACCTGTAATGTACTACGCTGGTAAGATATTTTTACCGTGACGTCATTCAGATACCTCCGTGCTTGGGGTCAATGGGTGCGAGCCTGGGGCAGAACGCCCAATGTTCTTTCATCAACCGAGAACTACACACGATGTCAAACATCTTACTTTATCACTATGCTAAATGCATACCGTAATATTACTGTAATGCTGAAAGCTGTGTAAAACCCAATCCGCACACTTATGTAAACATAAAGAATAGTAATACATACAGTTAACTACGGTTATAACGAACTAACGAATTTTACTTCATAATAGCCGTAGTCCGTTACATGTATATATAAAGCATATAAACAGCAAATGGACGGAACCCCAAAACCATTTTGTTATATCCGTCCATCCGTTATAAACGTAGCTTACTGTATGTTCCATTCCTACATCATGTTCATTAGGTCTGACATCGAGATGTTGTCGAGGTATGTGGTCAAAGTTGCCCTCGTCACGTTCGTACTCTGCGTCTGTGGGATTTTGGTGATGGAATCATCTACTCCGGGGCTGTGGGGACACGAAAGTCCAAGACTTCAGGCTGATGTAGACAGAGCCGTGCTGAAGGCGGAGGAGTTCCGGCAACAGAGGAACCAGCTGTCTTCAATACTGAATGGAGTCAAGCTAGACTTAGCTCTCATCAGTTGTCAGATGGTAGAGCTAAACCAACTCCACAACAAGGTACAACTACAACTATTTGTTGTTTAACAAACAAAACAAAACTCCAACATGGCTTCAAATCATTTGATATTATGTTCTCCAAATAGGACGCAATACTATCTCTAGCACTGTAAAATAAGGGTTAGTAACAATACGCCTTTAACTTTTGTTATTTCAAGAATTACATTATAGGATAAAGAAATCATCGCACGCGTGTATTTTTTCCATATGGGATATATCCAATATCCAGTGTAAAATGTAGGTTTTATTTTGGCCTAACTCTATTCGTTGTTCTAACAGACGTCGCCCGGAGTTTCAGCAACAGGCGGTTGGTGCAAACACAACAGTGCGTCTAGTACCGGAGAACACAAGTTTGATGAAACCCTCGCAGAAGAACTGTCCCTATTGTTTTACAATCAATCAGTTGCTAGTTTCGGAGATGGTCCGGGGACCTACAAAAGGTATATAGACTCCACCCATCGCGTGCATACCTACGATGCGTTTGATGGGGCTCCTTATGGAAGAGAAGTCAGTGGCGGTGTGGTTCGTTTCTTAGATCTGACGGCGCCGCAGTATGGACTTCCGCTGTATGACTGGGTCATGAGTCTGGAGGTCGCCGAACACATCCCGTCCAAATATGAGACCATCTACATTGACAATGTTGTGAGACACGCCAAGGTTGGAATTGTGTTGAGCTGGGCCGTACCGGGACAAGAGGGCTTGGCCCACGTCAACAACAGACCGTTGGCGTATGTACGACGTATCCTACTGGAGAACGGATTTGAACCAGATATGGAAGCGAGTACCGTTTTGCAGAAAAAGGCAACATTAACATGGTTTAAAGAAAATGTGTATGTCTACAGAAGACTGAAAGGCAGCACAGTGTCCGACACGAACGCATAGCTACAATGATTTGCCTGGTAACCTTGTCTTGATCCTGGTTCATCTATTATGTACACCCGGCCCCCTGATGAGGATGTCGGCAAGAAAATAAATGATCACATAATATAATATACTTAACTTGTGTAAAAATAAATACAATAATTATTTACCTCAGCTATGATATAATTTATGAAAAAAACAATAGTATCAATGAACACGTGATGGAATTAGGGGCTTACAATTTTGAAATTACAATTTAACAAAGTATTAGATACAGGTATTTTCCCTTCTTCGTGGAACTTAGGTATGATTATCCCGTTATACAAATCTGGAAAAAAGGCGGACCCAAATAATCACAGAGGTATTTCTCTTTTAAATGTTTCTGGCATGTTATTCACTTTTGTGTTAGAAAAACGGTTGAGAACATGGATAGAATTTAATGATTATATATCGGAATATCAAGCTGGTTTTCGCTCTAACTATTCTACCATAGATAATATGTACATTTTACAGTCATTGTGCTCGAAATATATATGCAAACCCAAGGGACGTTTTCTTAATCAATGAACTTGTTATTGAAATTCATAAGCAATGTAGCTACATATTTGTCCACATGTAGATTTTGTTGATATTATGATGCTATTGTTTCCTGATGATATTGTAATGTTTTCATTTGCAGTAAGCGGTTTACGAAAACAATTAAATGTACTACAATCATTTTGTTTGAAATGGGGATTGGAGTTAAATTTAAATAGAACAAACATAATGGTCTTTAGAAATGGTGGTATTGTTGCCAAAAGGGGAAAGTGGACTTATGGAAATGCTTCGGTCAAGGTTGAAACTTACTATAAATATTTGGGTATCATGTTTTCTTCTAAATTAATGTGGTCAGTAGCATGTAAGCAACTTGCTATTCAAGGTTCAAAAGCATGTATATATTGTTTAAACAAAATAAGTATATATCATTTTCAACAGCATGCAGTATTGTTTATTGTAAAATTGCACCAATATTATATGGTTCGGAAATATGGGGAACAAAGTGTTATGCTGCCATCGAAAAAGTACATACCTCATACTTCAAACGTTTTTTAGGTATTGGTAAATATGCCTCAAATAAAGCAATTCTTGGTGAAACTGGACGCTGCAATATGTTTGTACATAGGCAAGTTAGAGTAGTTAAATACTGGATAAAGTTACTAAGAATGGAAGAATGTAGATATCCTCTTCAATGTTACAATTTAACGTCCACAGAAACACCATTTGGTGTTTTTGGCAACGTTGGCAACAGACGAATGTAACCCATAATCGGCAAGTCAACTGGATTCGAACAACACGCCTACGAAATCGATTCCAGCCAGCAACAGTGACTGCAAGAAGCATCCCTGGCTTTCGACTATTATCTTCACAAACCGTACGTCGCCGCCTCAGATGTGCAGGGATTGTCGCAATAAGACCCGCCAGACGTCTCATTTTGACAGGAAACTACCGTCAAGCACTTAAATAGTGGTGCAGACAGTGTCTACGCTGGACGGCCATGCAGTGGGGACAAGTTCTATTCACTGACGAGTCTCGTTTTCACCTCAGCCACATCGATGGACGGATTCGAGTGTACCGACGTCGAGGTGAACGTTACCTCAATCATTGTGTCATGGAAGAAGATCGGTTCGGGGGCGGCAGCGTTGTGGTATGGGGTGGGATTCAGCAAGACAGAGGACCCGTTTGATAGTGGTAGAGGGAAATTTTAATGGACAGCGCTACCGCGACGAGATCATCGGCCCTGTTGTTCTACCGTTTATGCATTGTTTAGCATCGTGCTGACAACAACCACTCAGAAAAACAACAAAATTACGCAATTATTCAACATTACGAAATGCCACGCCTGTCGGAAAATGAGCGATCCATTGGTATGCTTGAAGCAGGATCGAGACAACGTGATGTTGCAAGACAATTTAACGTCCACAGAAACACCATTTGGTGTTTTTGGCAACGTTGGCAACAGACGAATGTAACCCATAATCGGCAAGTCAACTGGATTCGAACAACACGCCTACGAAATCGATTCCAGCCAGCAACAGTGACTGCAAGAAGCATCCCTGGCCTTCGACGAATATCTTCACAAACCGTACGTCGCCGCCTCAGATGTGCAGGGATTGTCGCAATAAGACCCGCCAGACGTCCCATTTTTACAGGAAACTACCGTCAAGCACGTATACAGTGGTGCAGACAGTTGATAAAAGTGGCAAAAATCCTCGGCAAGCCTCGGAATTTTTCCACTTTTATCAACTCGTGTTGATATATTTGATATCAAAAGACACTCGGGTGAGATTCTCTATATCTCATGGAGAACGGATGTCCTTATACTTGCTGTAGCCCGATGAACTTGTATGCAATTAAGATCAAGTATTATTAATAACCGAACGCCTCCGTGGTCTAGCGGTAGACCGCCTTTCCGGTCGGTGGTACGATTCCCGAGCGCGTTATACCACAAGACGTTAGAAGATGGTACTTGTTGTTACCCTGCCGGATGCTCGGGATGAAGGGGCCAAAAACAAGGACTGTTCGGCTCGGAGTCACTATACTGTGTCTGGCCGGGGTATTCATGTGTAGGTTAAAAGACGCCTCCGAGGTTTTGGTTGACAATATAAAACCGCCAGCGAGGGAAAAGGCCGAGGTAAAGGTTGATGGGCACGATGAGGTCTGACATTGAGGTAAAGGTTTTACATTTTTAAGCTAAACCGAGGAGGCGTGTTTTATCCAACTTATGAACCTACTAACATCCAAGACATTCCAGACAAAATAAGAAAAACATCGACATACCTTATAGTGAAACATTACAGTATTGCGGTATAAAAGGAATTCGCTCAAAACGTTCGAGAGAAAAAACACGTGCAAGCATGGGTGTTTCCATTGGCAATCACGTTGGACCAGTAAATCTACAGGTTTTATTTCTTGAAAAGCATCATAGATCAGGTCTGTCATCTGGCTTCATGCAATTTGTCAATAGCACAGAGACTGTCAACAGCCCCTTGGCAGCCATTGACACAAGTGACAAGTAACCGCGAATTAAGTAGGTCAAGTTCACCAACCTCCAAGTTTTCGGTTGGGGGCTGTTCGTTTTCAATATTAAAAAAAGTAGACGACTGTTATTGAATCAAGTTTGTTGAGAAATATATTAGTTTAGCGAGACAACCTTTAATTTCAGTAGGTTTATCTCCTAATTACATGGGGACTTGTCTCAACAATGCAATGTTATGTAAACAATCCACATCCAGAAATCATCTTGCAAAACGAATTTTTAGTCGTCTGTTTTATATTCAGATATATGCATCAAGATTCAGAGTGACAAAGACAACTCTCCACAAGGCTGTATGAGAAGAGAGATGACTTCACCTTCCCTTTATGTAGACCAATATTCCAGCTGCTCCAGTCTTTGGTGTCTACATTTCACAACTTTTCAGGTACAATCGAGCATGCTCTTTCTACATACATTTCAAAGAGCGTCATAAGAATCTTGCTAAAAATTTGTTTGAACAAGTTCCGACATTCGAGGCCTAAATAAGACTTTGAAAAAGTTTTATGGTAGACATGTAGAAGACATAATTAAATTTGACAGCTATTTTCATACAACACGAAAGTGTTTGTTTAGCTTTATGCCTATCCATCATTATTTCTCTGGACTTAGATCAGTAATACCATATTTTGGCCATTGCTATTCTAAATACGAAAATGAAGCTATGAAATGCCTGCTCTACAAAGACACCGTACTTCAACCCAATGGTTTTATGAAGTAATGTTATCAATTAGTGACGCTATGAACAATGCATGACGTCATGTACAACTGTAATCAACAATGCATCAATATGACAACATACTGCATCAGTTGACCAATCAACTTTGGGAATAGTTAAATTTGCACAGATGCAAACCCTGCCGATTTTAACAATCGAGCTGACAATCTTTTTTGATAAAATGTTCATTTCTATTTTCACTGGTTTGTGATCTTTCGTAATAAAATAAATTGGGAATGAAGAATCAAACAGAATCGACATAATATCAAGAATAACATACTATGACGTTATTGTCATTCAAGACAATAATAATGTATCTAACCCATGAAATCAATTTCACACATATGATTCGTATGCATTTTATTGACACGAATATCGTTCAAGAATCATAGCAAAATAAGCAACACATAGAGACAAGAGCTCCTGATGCGGTAGTAACACTATCTCTTCGCTTTCTCGGGCCTCTCAAAGATTTCATAATGGTTCCATATGTGAGACGAGGCGGTCTGATCGTGCCTGGGGTGTACTCAAGAGGTGACGTTGTTGCTGTAGACACGCCTTGCGCCGATGTAGTCGTTGTCCATGGGAGCGGTCGGGGCGGCGGCCGTGGTAGGGTGGCTGTAGGGGTTCCACACATGACCATCAAAGCGGGCTGCGCGAGATGTCTTTGTCCTGACCAAAACAGTAATTTAACAGTCAATGCTAAAGACACAGTAGGCGTGGTGGCGTAGTCTAGTTGTTAAAGCAGTCACAAATAAGACCAAAGGCCCGGGTTCGATTCCCAACATGGGTAAACGAGTGATGCCCACAGTGTTTTGCTGGAATATTTTACTCACACACTCACCATCACTTACAACAGAGACGGCCCATTAACCAAAGATAAACTTGAATATATGACATAACTATGACGAACTGGGGGTATTAATTCGTTATGACATGAAAGGAAATTTCTCAAGAAAGAATTTAACTTGGTAGTTAGTATTGTTATTGCCAGCAATACAAGGTGAAGTGTTTATTGTAGACATGATTCAAGAAAACATTTTGCTTATGCATATAGTGAGCTTTATTCCACCTTGTGGATGTGGTATGACCATCTCACCTTTGTCTCCTTAGGACATATACTACAACACCGACGACGATCAGTACAACGAGCAGTAACGTCACCCCAGTTCCAACTGACACGCCCAACACAATATACGAAACCTCTGTCTGGGGATCTGTTGAAATAAAGAATGACTGACTGAGTATTGTTTTGGCAATTTTCCAGCAACATCACGGCGGGGACATCAGAAATGGGCTTCACATGTTGTACCCATGTGGGGAATCGAAACACTAGGCTACCCAAACGCCCCGTTGAAATGAAGAATTGTTTAGGGATGGTAAAATAGGTTTACTCGTCAACCAAAATATACTATAGACTAAATACAAGGCAACTGATGAAATGATTGTCATCTTGCAATTCTACATTTCTGCCGATAATTCTTGAGAATGGAACAATGACAGGTCGGAAACTTTCGTCAACATTTCGCTGCCAGTCAAATGTCCATTCATAATAATACCAAATCAGTTTGTCATGTCATGTGTGATACCGCCCCATGCCACGACCTTGTTCCTGAACAAACAGGGGTATATCTGCTACAGGTCAAAGTAGCGACATCATTTTTGTCACCGATGCGTCAATTTAGGAAATGTCTACCATAAAACGGTTTGAAAGCTTTTACTAAGAACTTGAGACGTACTGACAATTGGTGTAAGGTAACGCTCCTACAATTTTGAACATTCATTTAGGGAAGTCACATTTTGACGACAAAGAAAAACACGCACCTGGACAGGGGGATAATCTGCAGTTGGATTGTTTTGTTTCTGTCATGTGACCTGGGCAGTTCTTGTTGTCATTTGAGCATGACCTTGACCTTGTTGCAACCTTGCCCGCTGACATACCGCACGTGACATCACATGACGGTTCACTCCAGTCAGACCAAGTCGACAGGACTCCATAATCTGGAAAAGTATATCTATGTATATCTGAAATATATACAGTAAATAAATCGACGTGCACACCCGTATTTGTCAATGCACCATGTCGACCCGACACATGAACTTTAGCTTAATAATAATTATAATAGTTATATTAATTCTGTTAATCCGGATAGTTGTTACTCCTGACGAATTCAGTGGTAACGGTACCGTCCGGATGAAGGAGGTTCCACTATGTACAAGAAGAAGCTTCTTACATAATTATCCGGAAATTAGGGTTTCCGTACTACCGAGGATTTTAGTATACATTTTAGAGTAGTGATGAGCTAACTAGACGCTCCCTTCTCCCGCGTGACTATATGACTATGTGACCAGTCCGTGGATTCGGGTATAAAGTCACTGTATATTTAATGTTATACAGATAATCAGATAATAAGATAATATATATCTATATCTATATCTATATCTATATCTATGTATATATATAACATATATAGATAGATATGACATATTTAGATGTTTTTGGTTATACTTGCCTGTGCATGGAGGGAGTGCACAGTTTCTTTCTTCAGTTTCTGAATTGTTTCCCGTGCAAAATGTCCCCCCGTTCTGTGGGATGGGGTTGCTACAAGACCTGACTCTGGACACATTCTTCGTGGCACGACTTCCACAGGTCACGGAGCATGGCGGATTGGCCCATTGTCCCCATTGTGTGAAGCCACCATCCACTGAAACATGCCATTGTGAAACGTCAGAAATATAAACGTGTGAAGATTCCTACCCTCTATGTACATGTAGATATTCCTTACTGAAGTCAGTAAACCAGGCTTTCTGGACAAACGAGAGTTCATTGTATGTATCAAAAATGACATTGCCATGCACTGTTATTTCGCTATTTCGGACCTGTGATAATCCGGACAGGAATGGTACTGCTGGATTAACGAAGGTTTCCTGTATTTAGTTTAAGAGCGTAGCAGACATACCTGGACACTCTGACAGAGTGCATCCCTCCTCCCTCGTCTCCATGCGACTCTCAGGACAGTCCCCACTTGTCTGTGGATCCGGGTATGTACATGACCTGGTTCGCACTGCTACTCGGGTCGCCTGTCTGCCGCACGTCTTCGAACACGGCGTATGTGACCACGTCGACCACGGCGTGATGCCACCGTCAACTGAGATAAGATATGCGTTTATTTAATCTCAAATATACACACAGTTGGCTGTTTTTAGACTCATATTAAAAATTCGGTTTGTTTCGACGTCATTGTTTGTTTGATGACGCCACAGCATTAGCTTTTTAGTATATATATATAGTTTACGACACATATAATGTGTTCATTGATGTTGTCGGTCTTACCTGTGCATGGAGGGAGTCCACAGTTTCTTTCTTCAGTTTCTGAACTGTTTCCCGTGCAAAATGTTCCCCCGTTCTGTGGGATGGGGTTACTACAAGACCTGACTCTGGACACATTCTTCGTGGCACGACTTCCACAGGTCACGGAGCATGGCGGATTGGCCCATTGTCCCCATTGTGTGAAGCCACCATCCACTGAAACATGCCATTGTGAAACGTCAGAAATATAAACATGGGGCGATTTCTACCTTTTATAATTATACATTCCGTACCGAATCATCAGTTGTTGAACTTACGATCGATGTACAGAAGGCTGTCATAGGAATCAAAATTATAATTCGGTTTGTTGTGTTACGTCATAGCTTGTTTAGTGACGTCACTGCATTATGACGTCACGTCTTTGTATTATCATACCATAAGTCATACGGTATATAGAGAATACTACACTCGTTCTCGCTAGATACCATTTTTTGCGAAACGAGTGGACTTTCATAGAAAGTTCACGAGTTTCTGGTCGTTGACAGACCAAACTGAAACCGGTTGCAAAATCTGGTCGCGCATGAACATTGATATATGCCCAAATATGGGCATTGTTGACATTTATGTGCATACGCATTAACATGTTATTGTTCACATTTTGTGATGTTTGGGGCCACAAAATCAGAAGTCAGGCACACTTACACGGAGTTTTCGAATGATTTTTATCAGAACTGTTCACTTTTAGTAATCTGGTCGTGCAGTCGTGTACGTTCATGCATGAACAACACCTCCCGAAACAGTTGCCACAAAATACGCTTCGAAGAGGACACTGATGGCACAACCGGATCATCCCAAGTAAGTCTAGATATCTGTCCAGATAGATTACAGACTTCATTTCAGGACCCTTATCTTTTTACGTTAAACCAAATTGAGAGTTGCGAAAGTGGTCAGGTGCGTCAGGCTAATGGGGACCCTCGCTCTATTGATCGGTAGTCGTACATTGTAAATGGATATAGCTCGATTATATAATGTCTGTAGAAGCTCTATGCGTAACTTATATATAATGCAAACCGAATTTGATGCGTGTGACTATTTTGTTTGGTTTAATTAAGTGTTTGTAAATATCTCTCGTTCTCATTAATTTCTTCAGTTCTGCCTTGTGGTTGCAAAATGAATAACGTCTCGCGATTTTTTATGAATGAAAAAAGTAGTCTCGTTTGACAGAGGTCACGGTTATCCAATCAAAACGAATAAAACAAGGTCAACCTTGTACGACACACGTGTTACGTACGGATTTAGTATCTTACCACCTGTATCTTCACCACGTGGGTAATAATAGTGATTAGTACATGGTGTGGCTTTGCATGAGTTGTGACTATTCATGATCATTACATTCAGGTGAATGTGAATGTGTTATTAAAGTAAACTCATTTGAGTAGTGTTTTTTCCTGAAAAATGTTAATATCACAAGTAGAGTATTAGGTACCATATTGATATATCTCTAAAACTATAAATCATTATCAGCAATAAGGCATTCATGAGTTAATAATATATGCACAGTTACTTTTACCTTTTTACTTTATATTATTATTGTGTACAATACATATTCTGTGCCTATTGATGGTATCAGTCATACTTGCCTGTGCATGGAGGGAGTCCACAGTTTCTTTCTTCAGTTTCTGAATTGTTTCCCGTGCAAAATGTTCCCCCGTTCTGTGGGATGGGGTTACTACAAGACCTGACTCTGGACACATTCTTCGTGGCACGACTTCCACAGGTCACGGAGCATGGCGGATTGGCCCATTGTCCCCATTGTGTGAAGCCACCATCCACTGAAACATGCCATTGTGAAATGTCAGAAATATAAACGTGTGAAGTTTTCTACCCTCTGTTTACAAGTAGACATTCCTTACTGAAGTCTGTAAATCAGGGTTTCTGGACAAACGAGAGTTTATTGTATGTATCAAAAATGACATTGCCATGTACTGTTATTTCGCTATTCCGGACCTGTGTTAATCCGGACAGGAATGGTACTGCTGGATTAACGAAGGTTTCTTGTATTAAGTAAAGCATGTTGATTTGAGAATTGCGTTTGTAGAACAAAATATTAATGCTTTACTCTCAAAGGTAAAGTAACAGAGATCATGTTCTTATCCACAATGTTGTAGTGCTTTAAGCACATAATAGTACAAATGAACTGGTGCTTAGTTACAATGAAGATATAGACTATAAACTATCTAAGGGGATTTAGATGTTCTAAAAGTGACTCCATCTTTGTGTTCTCTACAAATTCTATGGTTAAACTTTCTGAAAGGAAAAGAGATGTTGAGGCGTGACTTGTTCGTTTTACCCTAATATACATCAAACAAGTGAAAATATCCCTGACACGTTGATTGTCAAGTACACGAAAGAATGACTACTCTGTAAAGCTACATAGTACAAATCATCCTTATCCTTCGTCGGTTACTTATACCCTTTCAGAATATATATAGTTTACGACACATAAAATGCGCCCATTGATGTTATCGGTCTTGCCTGTGCATGGAGGAAGTCCACAGTTTCTTTCTTCAGTTTCTGAATTGTTTCCCGTGCACATTATCCCCCCGTTCTGTGGGATGGGGTTGCTGCAAGACCTGACTCTGGACACATTCTTCGTGGCACGACTTCCACAGGTCACGGAGCATGGCGGATTGGCCCATTGTCCCCATTGTGTGAAGCCACCATCCACTGAAACATGCCATTGTGAAATGTCAGAAATATAAACGTGTGAAGTTTTCTACCCTCTGTTTACAAGTAGACATTCCTTACTGAAGTCTGTAAATCAGGGTTTCTGGACAAACGAGAGTTTATTGTATGTATCAAAAATGACATTGCCATGTACTGTTATTTCGCTATTCCGGACCTGTGTTAATCCGGACAGGAATGGTACTGCTGGATTAACGAAGGTTTCTTGTATTAAGTAAAGCATGTTGATTTGAGAATTGCGTTTGTAGAACAAAATATTAATGCTTTACTCTCAAAGGTAAAGTAACAGAGATCATGTTCTTATCCACAATGTTGTAGTGCTTTAAGCACATAATAGTACAAATGAACTGGTGCTTAGTTATCATGAAGATATAGACTATAAACTATCTAAGGGGATTTAGATGTTCTAAAAGTGACTCCATCTTTGTGTTCTCTACAAATTCTATGGTTAAACTTTCTGAAAGGAAAAGAGATGTTGAGGCGTGACTTGTTCGTTTTACCCTAATATACATCAAACAAGTGAAAATATCCCTGACACGTTGATTGTCAAGAAAACGAACGAATTACTACTCTGTAAAGCTACATAGTACAAATCATCCTTATCCTTCGTCGGTTACTTATACCCTTTCAGAATATATATAGTTTACGACACATAAAATGCGCCCATTGATGTTATCGGTCTTGCCTGTGCATGGAGGAAGTCCACAGTTTCTTTCTTCAGTTTCTGAATTGTTTCCCGTGCACATTATCCCCCCGTTCTGTGGGATGGGGTTGCTGCAAGACCTGACTCTGGACACATTCTTCGTGGCACGACTTCCACAGGTCACGGAGCATGGCGGATTGGCCCATTGTCCCCATTGTGTGAAGCCACCATCCACTGAAACATGCCATTGTGAAATGTCAGAAATATAAACGTGTGAAGTTTTCTACCCTCTGTTTACAAGTAGACATTCCTTACTGAAGTCTGTAAATCAGGGTTTCTGGACAAACGAGAGTTTATTGTATGTATCAAAAATGACATTGCCATGTACTGTTATTTCGCTATTCCGGACCTGTGTTAATCCGGACAGGAATGGTACTGCTGGATTAACGAAGGTTTCTTGTATTAAGTAAAGCATGTTGATTTGAGAATTGCGTTTGTAGAACAAAATATTAATGCTTTACTCTCAAAGGTAAAGTAACAGAGATCATGTTCTTATCCACAATGTTGTAGTGCTTTAAGCACATAATAGTACAAATGAACTGGTGCTTAGTTACAATGAAGATATAGACTATAAACTATCTAAGGGGATTTAGATGTTCTAAAAGTGACTCCATCTTTGTGTTCTCTACAAATTCTATGGTTAAACTTTCTGAAAGGAAAAGAGATGTTGAGGCGTGACTTGTTCGTTTTACCCTAATATACATCAAACAAGTGAAAATATCCCTGACACGTTGATTGTCAAGTACACGAACGAATGACTACTCTGTAAAGCTACATAGTACAAATCATCCTTATCCTTCGTCGGTTACTTATACCCTTTCAGAATATATATAGTTTACGACACATAAAATGCGCCCATTGATGTTATCGGTCTTGCCTGTGCATGGAGGAAGTCCACAGTTTCTTTCTTCAGTCTCTGAATTGTTTCCCGTGCACATTATCCCCCCGTTCTGTGGGATGGGGTTGCTGCAAGACCTGACTCTGGACACATTCTTCGTGGCACGACTTCCACAGGTCACGGAGCATGGCGGATTGGCCCATTGTCCCCATTGTGTGAAGCCACCATCCACTGAAACATGCCATTGTGAAATGTCAGAAATATAAACGTGTGAAGTTTTCTACCCTCTGTTTACAAGTAGACATTCCTTACTGAAGTCTGTAAATCAGGGTTTCTGGACAAACGAGAGTTTATTGTATGTATCAAAAATGACATTGCCATGTACTGTTATTTCGCTATTCCGGACCTGTGTTAATCCGGACAGGAATGGTACTGCTGGATTAACGAAGGTTTCTTGTATTAAGTAAAGCATGTTGATTTGAGAATTGCGTTTGTAGAACAAAATATTAAAGCTTTACTCTCAAAGGTAAAGTAACAGAGATCATGTTCTTATCCACAATGTTGTAGTGCTTTAAGCACATAATAGTACAAATGAACTAGTGCTTAGTTACAATGAAGATATAGACTATAAACTATCTAAGGGGATTTAGATGTTCTAAAAGTGACTCCATCTTTGTGTTCTCTACAAATTCTATGGTTAAACTTTCTGAAAGGAAAAGAGATGTTGAGGCGTGACTTGTTCGTTTTACCCTAATATACATCAAACAAGTGAAAATATCCCTGACACGTTGATTGTCAAGTACACGAAGGAATGACTACTCTGTAAAGCTACATAGTACAAATCATCCTTATCCTTCGTCGGTTACTTATACCCTTTCAGAATATATATAGTTTACGACACATAAAATGCGCCCATTGATGTTATCGGTCTTGCCTGTGCATGGAGGAAGTCCACAGTTTCTTTCTTCAGTTTCTGAATTGTTTCCCGTGCACATTATCCCCCCGTTCTGTGGGATGGGGTTGCTGCAAGACCTGACTCTGGACACATTCTTCGTGGCACGACTTCCACAGGTCACGGAGCATGGCGGATTGGCCCATTGTCCCCATTGTGTGAAGCCACCATCCACTGAAACATGCCATTGTGAAATGTCAGAAATATAAACGTGTGAAGTTTTCTACCCTCTGTTTACAAGTAGACATTCCTTACTGAAGTCTGTAAATCAGGGTTTCTGGACAAACGAGAGTTTATTGTATGTATCAAAAATGACATTGCCATGTACTGTTATTTCGCTATTCCGGACCTGTGTTAATCCGGACAGGAATGGTACTGCTGGATTAACGAAGGTTTCTTGTATTAAGTAAAGCATGTTGATTTGAGAATTGCGTTTGTAGAACAAAATATTAATGCTTTACTCTCAAAGGTAAAGTAACAGAGATCATGTTCTTATCCACCATGTTGTAGTGCTTTAAGCACATAATAGTACAAATGAACTGGTGCTTAGTTACAATGAAGATATAGACTATAAACTATCTAAGGGGATTTAGATGTTCTAAAAGTGACTCCATCTTTGTGTTCTCTACAAATTCTATGGTTAAACTTTCTGAAAGGAAAAGAGATGTTGAGGCGTGACTTGTTCGTTTTACCCTAATATACATCAAACAAGTGAAAATATCCCTGACACGTTGATTGTCAAGTACACGAAGGAATGACTACTCTGTAAAGCTACATAGTACAAATCATCCTTATCCTTCGTCGGTTACTTATACCCTTTCAGAATATATATAGTTTACGACACATAAAATGCGCCCATTGATGTTATCGGTCTTGCCTGTGCATGGAGGAAGTCCACAGTTTCTTTCTTCAGTTTCTGAATTGTTTCCCGTGCACATTATCCCCCCGTTCTGTGGGATGGGGTTGCTGCAAGACCTGACTCTGGACACATTCTTCGTGGCACGACTTCCACAGGTCACGGAGCATGGCGGATTGGCCCATGGTCCCCACTGTGTGAAGCCACCATCCACTGAAACATGCCATTGTGAAATGTCAGAAATATAAACGTTGGGCGATTTCTAACTTTTATAACTATACATTCCGTACCGAATCATCAGTTGTTGAACTAACGATTGATGTACAAAAGGCTGTCAGAGGAATCAAAATTAAAATTCGGTTTGTAGTGTTACGTCATAGCTTGTTTAGTGACGTCACTGCATTATGACGTCACGTCTTTGTATTATCATACCATAAGTCATACGGTGTATAGAGAATACTACACTCATTCTCGCCAGATACCATTTTTACGAAACGAGTGGACTTTCATAGAAAGTTCACGAGTTTCTGGTCGTTGACAGACCAAACTGAAACAGGTTGCAAAATCTGGTCGCGCATGAATATTGATATATGCCCAAATATGGGCATTGTTGACATTTATGTGCATACGCATTAACATGTTATTGTTCACATTTTGTGATGTTTGGGGCCACAAAATCAGAAGTCAGGCACACTTACACGGAGTTTTCGAATGATTTGTATCAGAACTGTTCACTTTTAGTGACCTGGTCGTGCAGTCGTGTACGTTCATGCATGAACAACACCTCCCGAAACAGTGCCACAAAATACGCTTCGAAGGGGACACTGATGGCACAACCGGATCATCCCAGGTAAGTCTAGATATCTGTCCGGATAGTTTAAACAGACTTCATTTCACCATGCTTATCCTTTTACGTTAAATCAAATTGAAAGTTGCGAAAATGGTCGGGTGCGTCACGTTTATGGAGACCTTTGCTCTATTGATCGGTAGTCGTACATTGTAAATGGATATCGCTCGATTATATAATGTTTGTAGAAGCTCTATGCATAACTCATATATAATGCAAACCGAATTTGATGCGTGTGACTATTTTGTTTGGTTTAATAAAGTGTTTGGAAATATCTCTCGTTCTCATTAATTTCTTCAGTTTTGCATTGTAGTTGCAAAATGAATGACGTCTCGCGATTTTTTATGAATGAAAAAAGTAGTCCCGTTTGACAGAGGTCACAGTTATCCAATCAAAACGAATAAAACAAGGTCAACCTTGTACGACACACGTGTGACGTACGGATTTAGTATCTTACCACCTGTATCTTCACCACGTGGGTAATAATAGTGATTAGTACATGGTGTGGCTTTGCATGAGTTGTGACTATTCATTACATTCAGGTGAATCTGAATGTGTTATTAAAGTATACTAATTTGAGTTGTGTTTTTTTCTGAAAAATGTTAATATCACAAGTAGAGTATTAGGTACCATATTGATATATCTCTAAAACTATAAATCATTATCAGCAATAAGGCATTCATGAGTTAATAATATATGCACAGTTACTTTTACCTTTTTACTTTATATTATTATTGTGTACGATACATATTCTGTGCCTATTGATGGTATCAGTCATACTTGCCTGTGCATGGAGGGAGTCCACAGTTTCTTTCTTCAGTTTCTGAATTGTTTCCCGTGCAAAATGTCCCCCCGTTCTGTGGAATGGGGTTACTACAAGACCTGACTCTGGACACATTCTTCGTGGCACGACTTCCACAGGTCACGGAGCATGGCGGATTGGCCCATTGTCCCCATTGTGTGAAGCCACCATCTACTGAAACATGCCATTGTGAAATGTCAGAAATATAACCATGAGAATAAGCCACTCTTCATGTGCGTGTAGACATTCCTTACTGAACAGCCCGGACATCAATGTTGTTGAACTGGCGATGTACAGTAGGCTGTTGCAGGACCCACGTTTAGCATTCGGTTTGTTTCGACGCAATTGTTTGTTTGATGACGTTGCTGCATTATGACGTGACGTCATTGCCTTGTAAATACCTTTGTTAATAGTGGTGATGACACGGTGCGGCTTTGTATAAACAGTTACTATTCATTGTCCATGTATTATCAAAATACTTTACTTTGGTAATTGTTTTCGCAGAATAAAATGTTGATACTTTATACTCAGATGTAAAATACCTGTGAGCATGTTATTACTGACATATTGTAGTTTATGGAAAGCACATATCTAACCATTTTTGCATCAAATATTTCAAATGAACTCGTGTTTAGTTGGGATGAGGATGGATACAATGACCTACCTAATGTTTCTCAAGGTAATGCCATCTTGTGTTCCTTACACTAGCTATTGTTAAACTTTCTGAAAGGGAACGAGATGTTGGGGTGTGACTTGTTCTTTCACCCTAATAGACATCAAACAAGTGAAAATATCCCTTAATGTGGTTTCTTAGGTACATGACTGATCAATCTATAAACCACCAACATACACTGTGCATATGATTTCATCATATGCACAGTTTCCGTTAGTACCTAGTGTAGTACAACTCATTATCATTCATCGGTTATTTATATATCGATATATGAACAGGTATTTTTACCTTATTAGTATATATACTGTAACATTACTGTAAGATATATACTGAACCGCAAAAGAAACGTCACCATGGATAGATATATGAGAAACCTTATTTCTCCAAACACTGTAAACATACTTTGAGACAAATTAAAAAGATGAAACTTGGCAAAACTGATCATCAAGGTTGAAATTATAGTGTCAAATATTCTTAAAGTGAAACACAACACTAGTCTCTAAGAAAATGGCATCACAAGTCAGTATCTCGTGTGCCCGCCATGTGCATGGATGACTGCCGTGCAACGTCGATACATGGAATGGATGAGGCGGTTGATGAAGGCCATGAGCCCATACTCTGAGGAACGCCTGACGCAGTTCAGCTCCAGTTGTCGGCCTTGGTCTGACGTCATTCAGCCGTCTTTGAATCTCGTCCCACAGGTGCTCAATGGGATTTAAATCGGGACTGAGGGCAGACCACTGCATGGTTTTGATGCCATTCTGCTGGAGGAAGTCTCTTGTTGCTCTCGCAGTGTGGGCACGGGCGTTATCATGCTGAAACACATGGTTGCGGCGACCTGCCAAATGAGGTATGGCGTGTGGTCTCAAGACTTGATCAATGTACCGAGCTGCTGTGACACCATTGCCTCTCCCTGGACCGATGTTCTGGAAGACTACAGGGCCGACCCTCTGTGCAAGACCAATTCCACCCCACACCATGATGCTCGGACCACCCCACGTGTCTCTCTCAACAACACAAGCATCCGAATAATGTTCCCCACGGCGTCGCCAGACTCTCTCACTCTCTGCCATCTGCTGTTGAGATACAGTAACGGCTCTCGTCTGAGAAGAGGACTCTTCTCCACTGCTGGTGGCGCCAATGCTGGTGCTGTGCTGTCCACTAAAGACGGTCCCGGCGATGACTTGGTGTCAGAATGGGTTCTCAGTGTGGCCTCTGACAGAGCTTGTCAATCGTCGACGCACGGTGTCCACACTAATATGTCGCTGGTGTGTCCCCATGGTCTGTTGAGCAGTTTTCACAGCAGTAACAAAGCGATCTTGAAGATGCTGTCACACAATCTGACGATCCTGACGTCGGGTGGTGACCCTTGGTCTTCCACTACATGGTCGGTCATCTGTAGTGTTGGTGGTCTGGTACCGTTGCTGCAGCCTGTATATATGGTCCTTACGTGGACTTGAAATGCAATGGCTACTAGCCGGGCGGTTCGTTCAGCTTGCAATCGTCCAAGGGCTTGGTGTCGCGGATTTCTTGTCAATCTTGGCATGTGGTAGCATTCAATAACGAATGAATGTTATCCGATCTGGGGGGATTTTTATAGGGCAAGAAATGGGGGTACGCATGTGCATTTCAATTTGCAGGGAACTCACGTGCATCGGGTTACCATGGCAGTTGCCGTGATGCGTTAGGGCGATCGGTTTTATTTTCATCTGCTTTTATCATTAAATTTCATTTTTTCGGACAAGGTAATGTTAAACTCTAGAAACTTTGACGAAAAATTCCCAGATATTGAAATGACCACTTTTCATGCAATGTTACTTTGGGTGACGTTTCCTTTGCGGTTCAGTATATATGACAGTGGCCATTGATCTTTTTGGTCATACTTGCCTGTGCATGGAGGAAGTCCACAGTTTCTTTCTTCAGTTTCTGAACTGTTTCCCGTGCAAAATGTCCCCCCGTTCTGTGGGATGGGGTTGCTACAAGACCTGACTCTGGACACATTCTTCGTGGCACGACTTCCACAGGTCACGGAGCATGGCGGATTGGCCCATTGTCCCCATTGTGTGAAGCCACCATCCACTGAAACATGCCATTGTGAAACGTCATCAGTACGAACCTGAGGTAGTGAATCTCTGCTTTAGATGCACTGTCCACAGAGATGACACGGCCACAACTTGACGTACATAGCTATTATGTCTCCTACTGCCATGGTCTTATGGGTATAGACCCCCATCCCAGATTCGCCTGTTTTAGTGTCCTTGTTTTTTCAGCACCTCCTTTGTGTTCATAGAATTCGTAAACGTTCATAGCTTCCGTCGCTCTAGGGGAAGAGAGTGGAAGGTCCGGGGTTCGACCCCGCGTCATACCAAAAGAGATTAAAAGATGGTCATGTATCTGAGTGGGGGTATTCATGTTAGAGTGCGTCATGGTACCTAAGTGGGCTAGCACCATAAAGTCAGCATTAAACGGAATTAGTGCAAGCAGCACACACACACACACACACACACACACGCACACACACACACGCACGCACGCACGCACGCACGCACGCACGCACGCACGCACGCACGCACACGCATGCATGCACGTAACTATATAAATGCCATAATCTTGAACGCGTCGTTAAACCCAACTTCACCTAACCTCACCTCCGTCACTTTAGACTGGTGTTGTGTAGCCGAATCACTGTTATTATGCAACGAACTCACACTGATCTTGTATTATTTGATCTGCATCTTTTACGTATTCTAAAACACAAAATACTGGTATTGATGATGAGTTATGTTGATGATGTATTTGGAAGTAACGAACATATATCTTTTTTCATCTTTTTGTTATGAGCATCGACTAACACCATTGGGATAGGATGACATGCAATCAACCAAGTCACCGATCCTCACCCGATCCATGTATTCGCCTCTTACGACAAGCAGAGATTGCTGGGACCTATATTCTTACGTGGTTACTTATAAATGTCTTTTATATTTGTTGCGGAATTGGTAATGTTTTTTTTTAAATAGAACTAACAGTTTCAAAACCCATCTCGTGTTAGTAGGGGTTTACTCGGATGTATCACCCGTTGATCATCTCCCTACCTGGACATCCGCGGAGCTGACAGCCCCTAACATAGGTCTCCAATAATGGCTCGAGACAGTCCCGGCCGCCATTCTGGGGTGGAGGCCTGGTGCAAGTTCTCGTTCTGCTGACGTTCCTCACCGCCGTCAACCCACACGTGACAGGGCAGGCTGAGTCAATCCAGGCACCCCAGTCAGTCACCCCACCGTCCACCACACCTTTGCAATGACAACATATTATATACTACTCAAAAGAAGGTAAGGGTCAAACCATTTTTGCATATACAAAGAGCAAAATGGTAATGACAAAGTAATTCCTCCTTGTCTCCAGAACAGAAAACAAAAAAAACAACTTTCGATTTGACACTAATTTATTTCCGTGATGAAAGTAACTGGTGTAGCCACCGTTTGTATTCACACGTTCTTGACAACGTTGGCACATGCTGTTCATTAGACGTTGGAAATAACCTTGAGGGATTGCTTGTCATTCTGTGACTAATCGCTGACCCAGCTGCAGGAGGTTGACGACAGGGACGTGATGTGATCGGACTCGCCTCCATAGTTCATCACACGCGTGTTCAATGGGTGACAAGTCGAGTGAATATGCAGGCCAATCCGTGTGCTGGACGTTCTGCTGCTGCAGGAAGTCGGTCACCACCCTGGCACGATGAGGTCTGGCGTTGTCGTCCTCGAACCAAGCTCCTGGTCCAATCTGCTGCAGAAGTGGCACTACCAGAGGGTAAACAATTTCGTTGAGATAACGCTGACCAGTCAAATTTTCGTTGACGGCGTACAGAGGGATACGGTGGTTCATGGATATCCCAGCCCATACTATCACACTTCCTCCTCCAAAAATAATGGTAGACGTTGTGCAACGTTGACATCAGCAAATATCTCTCCTTGACGACCATATATACGGGCCTGGCTATCATTGAACTAGAGCGAGAATCGTGACTCATCTGCGAACATTGTCTATGCCCACTGAACACGGTTCCACCGGATATGACGTCTGCACCAATCTCGGCGAACCCTTGTGTGACGGTCACGCCGGCATCGCAAACCTCGGTCTCGCAGGTGATTCCTAATGGTCTGAGCGGATACGTTGGTGCCTCTAGCAGCTCTTAGTTGATCCCGAAGATGTCTTGTGGTCACAAAGCGATGTCGCAATGCCCTTGTCATCAGGAAGCAGTCTTCTAGTTCTGTTGTTGATCGGGGGCTTCCAGAACGGGTGATTCGAACAGTATTAGTTGTCCTGAACTTCTGCCAGAGTCTGCCGATAACCCTTTGGCTTACACTTAGACGCTGAGCTAGAGTTCTCTGAGTTTGTCCATCTTGTAGCCAGCCAATGGCCCTTCCCCTGTCTGAATTGTAGTCAAACCATCTTCAAATGTCAAGTGATGATGAATGGAAAATGTTCAGCCCTTTTATTGTTAAACTTGGCATGCCTTGAATGACACCCATGGAAAACACGTGCTAATGGTGCATGGGATGGCACAATGCGTTTTGCGAGGCAGTTTGTCAGTTTAGTCTGACTCAGTTCGTGCTTCAAAACCGTTTTGGGTGCCCAGCATGACGCCCTGTGGTGGCGTTGAACATGACATATTTGGGGCGAGTCAGTCATAGTTGTGGGAGGAATGCGTTTGAACAAACCCATGAAGCTGTGCTACACCTACAGGAGCTGGGGCCATACATCGTGACCATACGTTGTTATTGTTAGACCTTGTGCCAGAGCAATATGTGATGACTTGGCTTTAATGAACGATATTGCACAAAACACACATGACCAGAGTCGTCACGGAGTTTCTTAAGAGGTAAACATAAAGTGTATGGGCGTATTCCCAGGATGTTTTGGATGTTCTCCAGCAGCATGGACCGGATGCTTGAGTCATGTTGCAGGATCTGCCAGTTCCTTTAGAATACGAATGGAATGAGATTCCTCAAAGACAGTTCCGGAATGTGGGTGTTTCAAAGTGAGACTTAAGTCAGTGGAAGTCACGCCCGTTTAAGTCCTCATTTGTGAAAGGTCTCCAGAAATATATCATAAGCTTATGCCAAGCATGTGAATATTTCAGTGATTATGATTTCTGTCTGTTTCGATACTTCACTTAACTTTTTCAACTTCACTCAGAACAGTCATTGATCTAAAACCTATTCACTATGATGTTGTCAGATCAGGAAATTATCAGTTGCTCGTAATGTGTTTTGTTATCGCTTAATATCGCTTAATGTATATGTCAAATATTGCAATGTTCTTACACTCGACTTTTCAACCTAAATTGTGCGGTTTGTGTTCACTTTGGTCGACAATCCTACCTGGGCAAACCCTATTGTTACAGTTGACAAGAGCTGTCTCCGAGCGTGGCTCAGCACAGTCACGTCCACCGTATTGTGGAGGAGGGTTGGAGCAGCTTCGGTTCCTCGTCACGACCTTGTGGGCAGACACGCCACACGACAGAGGGCACGGAGGTGTGGTCCATTGTTCCCATGTTGATATGCCGCCATCGACTGCACATGGAAGCATGTCATTTAGTCATCACCAGGAATACATGTAGCTACACATGTGTCTTCTTACTAGGGCAATAATCAGAAGCATATTGTATTAGAAATGTCAAATGTATTTCTCATTCCATATGTTTATGGTATTGAATTCCTTGGTTGACGACAGTCGTTGTTAAGTATTCCTGTAAATCCATTCATTACATTTTTCATTCTATTTATCAAACTATAAACAAGTATTTATAAATGAAATTCAGTTATGTGGTAAATCAAAATATATCCATGATGATACTGCCCAGACAAATGATAGGTTCAACAATTTATGTTTCGATTATTCCCAACCGTCATCCATAACTGTTGTTCTTACTAGGGCAGTAGCGAAGGTTACAGTTGACTTGCTTGGTATCAAACAATGCATCTGTGCAGTCCGCTCCCCCGAAGGCCGGTCGTGGGTTATTGCAGGTGCGTGTCCTGACCAGTGTCCTGGTAACGTCTTGACCACAAGTAACAGAGCAGGCTTGACCTGTCCACTCTGACCATTCAGTCACATTGCCGGCGACTGTTGAGACAGTTAAAGTAAAATTTGAAACGGATGTCTAAATATCCTCCTCGATAGAATTATCTAAATATTCTCCATAACATTATTGTCTAAGTATCCTTACTGAAACGTTCGTTTATACAGCTCAACATAATTATCTAAATATTCTCCTCGACATTATTATGTAAATATGATCATGGCAATTGATTTTAAATATACTAAATATATATATATCTAAATAATCTCTTGCATCTATTTCCATCATCCATGACATGGATATCTAATTATCCTCATCGATTTTCACACTTCTTTACTGTCCGTGTCGGCAATGCGTTATTACTGTCTGTGTCGACAGTTCTTCACTTCTGTCTGTGTCGACAGTCCTCCATTGCTGCCTGTGTCGAGAGCCCTTCATTACTGTCTGTGTCGAGAGCCCTTCATCTCTGTCTGTATCGAGAGCCCTTCATCTCTGTCTGTGTCGAGAGCCCTTCATTACTGTCTGTGTCGAGAGCCCTTAATTACTGTCTGTGTCGACAATCCTTCAATACTGTCTGTGTCAAGAGCCCTTCATTACAGTCTGTGTCGACAGTCCTTCATTACTGTCTGTGTCAAGAGCCCTTCGTTACAGTCTGTGTCGAGAGCCCTTCATAACAGTCTGTGTCGAGAGCCCTTAATTACTGTCTGTGTCGACAATCCTTCAATACTGTCTGTGTCAAGAGCCCTTCATTACAGTCTGTGTCGACAGTCCTTCATTACTGTCTGTGCCAAGAGCCCTTCGTTACAGTCTGTGTCGAGAGCCCTTCATCTCTGTCTGTATCGAGAGCCCTTCATCTCTGTCTGTGTCGAGAGCCCTTCATTACTGTCTGTGTCGACAGTCCTTCATTACTGTCTATGTCGACAATCCTTCATAACTGTCTGTGTCAAGAGCCCTTCATTACAGTCTGTGTCGACAATCCTTCAATACTGTCTGTGTCAAGAGCCCTTCATTACAGTCTGTGTCGACAGTCCTTCGTTACTGTCTGTGTCGACAGTCCTTCAATACTGTCTGTGTCGAGAGCCCTTCATTACTGTCTGTGTCGACAGTCCTTCAATACTGTCTGTGTCGACAGTCCTTCATTACTGTCTGTGTCGAGAGCCCGTCATTACTGTCTTGTTAAGAGCACTTCTTTACCGTTTTTGTCGAAAGCCCTTCATTACTGTCTGTGTCGACATTCCTTCATTACTGTCTTTTTCAAGAGCACTTCGTTACTCTCTGTGTCGAGAGCCCTTCATTACAGTCTGTGTCGACACTCCTTCGTTACTGTCTGTGTCGAGAGCCCTTCGATACTGTTTGTGTCGATAGCCCTTTATTACTGTCTGTGTCGAGAGCCCTTTATAACAGCCTGTGTCAAGAGCCCTTCATTACAGTCTGTGTCGAGAGCCCTTCATTACTGTCTATTTCGAGAGCCCTTTATAACAGCCTGTGTCAAGAGCCCTTCATAACAGTCTCTGTCGGGAGCCCTTCATTACAGTCTGTGTCTAGAGCCCTTCGTTACTGTCTGTGTCGACAGTCCTTCATTACTGTTTGTGTCGAGAGCCCTTCGTTACTGTTTGTGTCGAGAGCCCTTCGTTACTGTCTGTGTCGAGAGCCCTTCATTACAGTCTGTGTCGAGAGCCCTTCATAACAGTCTCTGTCGGGAGCCCTTCGTTACAGACGGTGTCGAGAGCCCTCCGTTACTGTCTGTGTCGAGAGCCCTTCATTACAGTCTGTGTCGAGAGCCCTTCAAATATATAAATAGTTACAGGTGGGAGAGTCGGTGAATCCACGTGATGACACCCTCAACAAGAACCATGTTAAGGGATGATTTTAGGAAACACTTGCTTAAACACTGAATTTTTTCAGAACATCCGGCAGGTCCAGTGAACGATTATTTTTATTTTAAAATATAGATTTTAACAATTTATATTGTTTCTACTGTGAACATAATGGATACTACAGAAGAAGTGTATTTGTAATATTATATCAAGATTTTCACACAGACTGATTTTATCATAATTCTACTGTTATTTGAATGCAACACTCCTTTCATTACTTGGACATTCTGACAAGCCACAGTTCCTGAGCGCTGTTTCGAACACAGTCCCCGCGCAATCAGCGCCGCCAAACTGAGGAGATGGAGCCGTGCAGGACCTCGTTCTCGTGAAGATGCGGGTTACCAGCATCCCGCATGTCCTGGTACATTGAGACCCGTCCCACGCCGACCACAACGACAACCCACCGTTCACTGAAATACAAATATATCATCAAAAGCTGTAACACTTTGCGAGTTTGTTTGTTGTTTAAAGCCGCACTCAGCAATATTCCAGCTATATGACGGCGGTATGTATTATAATCGAGTCTGGACCAGACAGTACAGTGATTGATTCATAAGCATCGATCCACGCAACTTGGATACGATGACATGCATCAACCAATGGGATACGATGACATGCATCAACCAAGTCAGCGAGCCTTACCACCCGATCCCTTAAGTCGCCTCTTACGACAAGCATGGGCTGCTGAAGACATATTTTAATTCTATTCCGAATCTTCACGGGTAAATTAGCATTCAAACATGCGATATGGTTTCGAGTCAGCTGCAATGAGTTTCGTAGACAGACGTAGAGAATATTACCTACCTTTCATATGGAAGATGTGACGCCAGAGTGTGTACATCCACAACGACACGTTCCTTAGTGAATGCGTGAGTGAGTGAAAGAACTAGCTTTGACGCCGCTTTGAACAGTATGTATTCACGAGTGGTGAAGGACAGTATGTATACACGGGTGATGAAAGACAGTATGTATTCACGGGTGGTGAAAGACAGTATGTATTCACGGGTGGTAAAAACAGTATGTATTCACGGGGGATGGAGGACAGTATGTATTCACGGGTGATGAAGGACAGTATGTATTCACGGGTGATAAAGGACAGTAAGTTTTCACGGGTGGTGAAAGACAGTATGTATTCCCGGGTGATGAAGGGCCGTGTGTATCCACGGGTGGTGAAAGACATTATGTATTCACGGGTGATGAAAGACAGAATGTATTCACGGGTGATGAAGAAAATTATGTTTTCAAGGGTGATGAAGGACAGTATGTATTCACGAGTGATGAAAGACAGTATGTATTCACGGGTGATGAAAGGCCGTATGTATTCACGAGTGGTGAAAAACAGTATGTATTCACGGGTGATGAAGGGCCGTATGTATTCACGAGTGGTGAAAAACAGTATGTATTCACGAGTGATGAAGGGCCGTATGTATTCACGAGTGGTGAAAGACAGTATGTCTTCACGGGTGATAAAGGACAGTATGTATTCACGAGTGGTGAAAGACAGTATGTATTCACGGGTGATGGAGGACAGTATGTATACACGGGTGATGAAAGACAGTATGTATTCACGGGTGGTGAAAGACAGTATGTATTCACGGGTGGTGAAAGACAGTATGTATTCACGAGTGGTGAAAGACAGTATGTATACACGGGTGATGAAGGACAGTATGTATTCACGGGTGATGAAAGACAGTATGTATTCACGGGTGGTGAAAGACAGTATGTATTCACGGGTGGTAAAAACAGTATGTATACACGGGTGATGAAGGACAGTATGTATTCACGGGTGATGAAGGACAGTATGTATTCACTATTCACGGGTGGTGAAAGACAGTATGTATTCACGAGTGGTGAAAGACAGTATGTATTCACGGGTGGTGAAAAACAGTATGTATTCCCGGGTGATAAAGAGCCGTACGTATTCACGAGTGGTGAAAAACAGTATGTATTCCCGGGTGATGAAGGGCCGTATGTATTCACGGGTGGTTAAAGACAGTATGTATACACGGGTGATGAAGGACAGTATGTATTCACGGGTGATGAAAGACAGTATGTATTCACGGGTGGTGAAAGACAGTATGTATTCACGGGTGATGAAAGACAGTATGTATTCACGGGTGGTGAAAGACAGTATGTATTCACGAGTGGTGAAAGACAGTATGTATACACGGGTGATGAAGGACAGTATGTATTCACGGGTGATGAAGGACAGTATGTATTCACGGGTGATGAAGGGCCGTATGTATTCACGAGTGGTGAAAGACAGTATGTCTTCACGGGTGATAAAGGACAGTATGTATTCACGAGTGGTGAAAGACAGTATGTATTCACGGGTGATGGAGGACAGTATGTATACACGGGTGATGAAAGACAGTATGTATTCACGGGTGGTGAAAGACAGTATGTATTCACGGGTGGTGAAAGACAGTATGTATTCACGAGTGGTGAAAGACAGTATGTATACACGGGTGATGAAGGACAGTATGTATTCACGGGTGATGAAAGACAGTATGTATTCACGGGTGATGAAAGACAGTATGTATTCACGGGTGATGAAAGACAGTATGTATTCACGGGTGATGAAAGACAGTATGTATTCACGGGTGGTAAAAACAGTATGTATTCACGGGGGATGGAGGACAGTATGTATTCACGGGTGATGAAGGACAGTATGTATTCACGGGTGATAAAGGACAGTATGTATTCACGGGTGGTGAAAGACAGTATGTATTCCCGGGTGATGAAGGGCCGTATGTATTCACGAGTGGTGAAAAACAGTATGTATTCCCGGGTGATGAAGGGCCGTATGTATTCACGAGTGGTGAAAGACAGTATGTATTCACGAGTGATGAAGGGCCGTATGTATTCACGGGGGATGGAGGACAGTATGTATTCACGGGTGGTGAAAAACAGTATGTATTCCCGGGTGATGAAGGGCCGTATGTATTCACGAGTGGTGAAAGACAGTATGTATTCACGAGTGATGAAGGGCCGTATGTATTCACGAGTGGTGAAAGACAGTATGTCTTCACGGGTGATAAAGGACAGTATGTATTCACGAGTGGTGAAAGACAGTATGTATTCACGGGGGATGGAGGACAGTATGTATTCACGGGTGGTGAAAGATAGTATGTCTTCACGGGTGATAAAGGACAGTATGTATTCACGGGTGGTGAAAGACGGTATGTATTCACGGGGGATGGAGGACAGTTTGTATACACGGGTGGTGAAAGACAGTATGTATTCACGGGGGATGAAGGACAGTATGTATTCACGGGTGATGAAGGGCCGTATGTATTCACGAGTGGTGAAAAACAGTATGTATTCCCGGGTGATGAAGGGCCGTATGTATTCACGAGTGGTGAAAGACAGTATGTATTCACGAGTGATGAAGGGCCGTATGTATTCACGAGTGGTGAAAAACAGTATGTATTCCCGGGTGATGAAGGGCCGTATGTATTCACGGGTGGTGAAAGACAGTATGTATTCACGGGGGATGGAGGACAGTATGTATTCACGGGTGGTGAAAGACAGTATGTATTCACGGGGGATGGAGGACAGTATGTATTCACGGGTGATGAAGGACAGTATGTATTCACGGGTGATAAAGGACAGTAAGTTTTCACGGGTGGTGAAAGACAGTATGTATTCCCGGGTGATGAAGGGCCGTGTGTATCCACGGGTGGTGAAAGACATTATGTATTCACGGGTGATGAAAGACAGAATGTATTCACGGGTGATGAAGAAAATTATGTTTTCAAGGGTGATGAAGGACAGTATGTATTCACGAGTGATGAAAGACAGTATGTATTCACGGGTGATGAAAGGCCGTATGTATTCACGAGTGGTGAAAAACAGTATGTATTCACGGGTGATGAAGGGCCGTATGTATTCACGAGTGGTGAAAAACAGTATGTATTCACGAGTGATGAAGGGCCGTATGTATTCACGAGTGGTGAAAGACAGTATGTCTTCACGGGTGATAAAGGACAGTATGTATTCACGAGTGGTGAAAGACAGTATGTATTCACGGGTGATGGAGGACAGTATGTATACACGGGTGATGAAAGACAGTATGTATTCACGGGTGGTGAAAGACAGTATGTATTCACGGGTGGTGAAAGACAGTATGTATTCACGAGTGGTGAAAGACAGTATGTATACACGGGTGATGAAGGACAGTATGTATTCACGGGTGATGAAAGACAGTATGTATTCACGGGTGGTGAAAGACAGTATGTATTCACGGGTGGTAAAAACAGTATGTATACACGGGTGATGAAGGACAGTATGTATTCACGGGTGATGAAGGACAGTATGTATTCACTATTCACGGGTGGTGAAAGACAGTATGTATTCACGAGTGGTGAAAGACAGTATGTATTCACGGGTGGTGAAAAACAGTATGTATTCCCGGGTGATAAAGAGCCGTACGTATTCACGAGTGGTGAAAAACAGTATGTATTCCCGGGTGATGAAGGGCCGTATGTATTCACGGGTGGTTAAAGACAGTATGTATACACGGGTGATGAAGGACAGTATGTATTCACGGGTGATGAAAGACAGTATGTATTCACGGGTGGTGAAAGACAGTATGTATTCACGGGTGATGAAAGACAGTATGTATTCACGGGTGGTGAAAGACAGTATGTATTCACGAGTGGTGAAAGACAGTATGTATACACGGGTGATGAAGGACAGTATGTATTCACGGGTGATGAAGGACAGTATGTATTCACGGGTGATGAAGGGCCGTATGTATTCACGAGTGGTGAAAGACAGTATGTCTTCACGGGTGATAAAGGACAGTATGTATTCACGAGTGGTGAAAGACAGTATGTATTCACGGGTGATGGAGGACAGTATGTATACACGGGTGATGAAAGACAGTATGTATTCACGGGTGGTGAAAGACAGTATGTATTCACGGGTGGTGAAAGACAGTATGTATTCACGAGTGGTGAAAGACAGTATGTATACACGGGTGATGAAGGACAGTATGTATTCACGGGTGATGAAAGACAGTATGTATTCACGGGTGATGAAGGACAGTATGTATTCACGGGTGATGAAAGACAGTATGTATTCACGGGTGATGAAAGACAGTATGTATTCACGGGTGGTAAAAACAGTATGTATTCACGGGGGATGGAGGACAGTATGTATTCACGGGTGATGAAGGACAGTATGTATTCACGGGTGATAAAGGACAGTATGTATTCACGGGTGGTGAAAGACAGTATGTATTCCCGGGTGATGAAGGGCCGTATGTATTCACGAGTGGTGAAAAACAGTATGTATTCCCGGGTGATGAAGGGCCGTATGTATTCACGAGTGGTGAAAGACAGTATGTATTCACGAGTGATGAAGGGCCGTATGTATTCACGGGGGATGGAGGACAGTATGTATTCACGGGTGGTGAAAAACAGTATGTATTCCCGGGTGATGAAGGGCCGTATGTATTCACGAGTGGTGAAAGACAGTATGTATTCACGAGTGATGAAGGGCCGTATGTATTCACGAGTGGTGAAAGACAGTATGTCTTCACGGGTGATAAAGGACAGTATGTATTCACGAGTGGTGAAAGACAGTATGTATTCACGGGGGATGGAGGACAGTATGTATTCACGGGTGGTGAAAGATAGTATGTCTTCACGGGTGATAAAGGACAGTATGTATTCACGGGTGGTGAAAGACGGTATGTATTCACGGGGGATGGAGGACAGTTTGTATACACGGGTGGTGAAAGACAGTATGTATTCACGGGGGATGAAGGACAGTATGTATTCACGGGTGATGAAGGGCCGTATGTATTCACGAGTGGTGAAAAACAGTATGTATTCCCGGGTGATGAAGGGCCGTATGTATTCACGAGTGGTGAAAGACAGTATGTATTCACGAGTGATGAAGGGCCGTATGTATTCACGAGTGGTGAAAAACAGTATGTATTCCCGGGTGATGAAGGGCCGTATGTATTCACGGGTGGTGAAAGACAGTATGTATTCACGGGGGATGGAGGACAGTATGTATTCACGGGTGGTGAAAGACAGTATGTATTCACGGGGGATGGAGGACAGTATGTATTCACGGGTGATGAAGGACAGTATGTATTCACGGGTGATAAAGGACAGTAAGTTTTCACGGGTGGTGAAAGACAGTATGTATTCCCGGGTGATGAAGGGCCGTGTGTATCCACGGGTGGTGAAAGACATTATGTATTCACGGGTGATGAAAGACAGAATGTATTCACGGGTGATGAAGAAAATTATGTTTTCAAGGGTGATGAAGGACAGTATGTATTCACGAGTGATGAAAGACAGTATGTATTCACGGGTGATGAAAGGCCGTATGTATTCACGAGTGGTGAAAAACAGTATGTATTCACGGGTGATGAAGGGCCGTATGTATTCACGAGTGGTGAAAAACAGTATGTATTCACGAGTGATGAAGGGCCGTATGTATTCACGAGTGGTGAAAGACAGTATGTCTTCACGGGTGATAAAGGACAGTATGTATTCACGAGTGGTGAAAGACAGTATGTATTCACGGGTGATGGAGGACAGTATGTATACACGGGTGATGAAAGACAGTATGTATTCACGGGTGGTGAAAGACAGTATGTATTCACGGGTGGTGAAAGACAGTATGTATTCACGAGTGGTGAAAGACAGTATGTATACACGGGTGATGAAGGACAGTATGTATTCACGGGTGATGAAAGACAGTATGTATTCACGGGTGGTGAAAGACAGTATGTATTCACGGGTGGTAAAAACAGTATGTATACACGGGTGATGAAGGACAGTATGTATTCACGGGTGATGAAGGACAGTATGTATTCACTATTCACGGGTGGTGAAAGACAGTATGTATTCACGAGTGGTGAAAGACAGTATGTATTCACGGGTGGTGAAAAACAGTATGTATTCCCGGGTGATAAAGAGCCGTACGTATTCACGAGTGGTGAAAAACAGTATGTATTCCCGGGTGATGAAGGGCCGTATGTATTCACGGGTGGTTAAAGACAGTATGTATACACGGGTGATGAAGGACAGTATGTATTCACGGGTGATGAAAGACAGTATGTATTCACGGGTGGTGAAAGACAGTATGTATTCACGGGTGATGAAAGACAGTATGTATTCACGGGTGGTGAAAGACAGTATGTATTCACGAGTGGTGAAAGACAGTATGTATACACGGGTGATGAAGGACAGTATGTATTCACGGGTGATGAAGGACAGTATGTATTCACGGGTGATGAAGGGCCGTATGTATTCACGAGTGGTGAAAGACAGTATGTCTTCACGGGTGATAAAGGACAGTATGTATTCACGAGTGGTGAAAGACAGTATGTATTCACGGGTGATGGAGGACAGTATGTATACACGGGTGATGAAAGACAGTATGTATTCACGGGTGGTGAAAGACAGTATGTATTCACGGGTGGTGAAAGACAGTATGTATTCACGAGTGGTGAAAGACAGTATGTATACACGGGTGATGAAGGACAGTATGTATTCACGGGTGATGAAAGACAGTATGTATTCACGGGTGATGAAGGACAGTATGTATTCACGGGTGATGAAAGACAGTATGTATTCACGGGTGATGAAAGACAGTATGTATTCACGGGTGGTAAAAACAGTATGTATTCACGGGGGATGGAGGACAGTATGTATTCACGGGTGATGAAGGACAGTATGTATTCACGGGTGATAAAGGACAGTATGTATTCACGGGTGGTGAAAGACAGTATGTATTCCCGGGTGATGAAGGGCCGTATGTATTCACGAGTGGTGAAAAACAGTATGTATTCCCGGGTGATGAAGGGCCGTATGTATTCACGAGTGGTGAAAGACAGTATGTATTCACGAGTGATGAAGGGCCGTATGTATTCACGGGGGATGGAGGACAGTATGTATTCACGGGTGGTGAAAAACAGTATGTATTCCCGGGTGATGAAGGGCCGTATGTATTCACGAGTGGTGAAAGACAGTATGTATTCACGAGTGATGAAGGGCCGTATGTATTCACGAGTGGTGAAAGACAGTATGTCTTCACGGGTGATAAAGGACAGTATGTATTCACGAGTGGTGAAAGACAGTATGTATTCACGGGGGATGGAGGACAGTATGTATTCACGGGTGGTGAAAGATAGTATGTCTTCACGGGTGATAAAGGACAGTATGTATTCACGGGTGGTGAAAGACGGTATGTATTCACGGGGGATGGAGGACAGTTTGTATACACGGGTGGTGAAAGACAGTATGTATTCACGGGGGATGAAGGACAGTATGTATTCACGGGTGATGAAGGGCCGTATGTATTCACGAGTGGTGAAAAACAGTATGTATTCCCGGGTGATGAAGGGCCGTATGTATTCACGAGTGGTGAAAGACAGTATGTATTCACGAGTGATGAAGGGCCGTATGTATTCACGAGTGGTGAAAAACAGTATGTATTCCCGGGTGATGAAGGGCCGTATGTATTCACGGGTGGTGAAAGACAGTATGTATTCACGGGGGATGGAGGACAGTATGTATTCACGGGTGGTGAAAGACAGTATGTATTCACGGGGGATGGAGGACAGTATGTATTCACGGGTGATGAAGGACCGTATGTATTCACGAGTGGTGAAAGACAGTATGTATTCACGGGTGGTGAAAAACAGTATGTATTCCCGGGTGATAAAGAGCCGTACGTATTCACGAGTGGTGAAAAACAGTATGTATTCACGAGTGATGAAGGGCCGTATGTATTCACGAGTGGTGAAAGACAGTATGTATTCACGAGTGATGAAGGGCCGTATGTATTCACGAGTGGTGAAAGACAGTATGTATTCACGGGTGGTGAAAAACAGTATGTATTCCCGGGTGATAAAGAGCCGTACGTATTCACGAGTGGTGAAAAACAGTATGTATTCCCGGGTGATGAAGGGCCGTATGTATTCACGGGTGGTGAAAGACAGTATGTATTCACGGGGGATGGAGGACAGTATGTATTCACGGGTGGTGAAAGACAGTATGTATTCACGGGGGATGGAGGACAGTATGTATTCACGGGTGGTGAAGGACCGTAAGTATTTCCGGGTAGTGAAGGGCCACATGTATACACGTGTGATGAAGGACCGTAATGTATTCGAGGGTGATGTAGGGCCATATGTATTCACGGGTTGTAAGGCCAGAATGGATTCATGGGTGATGAAGAGATGTAGTTGTAGGGCATACAATCTCGTGATGGCAGGCACTCATATATCTTTTTCTTTTATACGAGGCGCATGGTGTACGTTTGTACATCGTTCGTATTTTAACTTGTCTGTGTGGAAAGTTTTTTAATTAATACATTCTTTACTGTCTGTTTTGGCAGTCCTTCAGTAGCGTCTCTGTCGACAGTACTTCATAATGTCTGTGTCGCTGTTCGTGACAGACAGGCATTAAGCGATCTCTTAACTTAAATATCAACCCACTAAAGATGTAGGCGTTGTCTTTATATAGAAATATTTGCAGCAGTCAAACATTTGACCTGTCCACATTGAGGCTACTAGTTTCTTTATCACACTACTTGAGAAACAGGTTTTTCAGCAACGGCGCAGAAAAATAGGCCACGGTTTGCATTACACATTTTACTCCACTTGGTAAATGCATTCACAATACATGCTATTCTTAACTTGATTTGGGGACAATATCAGAAAAAAATATATTGTCCCAGAAAATGCTTTAAAAAAATAATTATGCTTCAGGCTGTCAAAAAACAAAACAAAATTGTCTGCCACCAAAAATAGAATGCTGCAAGGTGTTTTCTAACAAAAAACATTTAATAGGACCACAGTTTTATCTTTTTTAATCACGTTTTGCAGCTCTACCTGAAAATATATCTGGTCCCCATACAAACCCGGATTAGAATTTGACTGGATTATTGACCGTACCTAGGGAGGGCTTACCAGGACATGGTGTAGTCAGTCTACAGCTCTCCTGTCTCGCCTGTCTCGCCTCTCCCACACACTCACGACCCCCGTCAGAAGGGGCGGGGCTGTCACACACCCTGGTTCTCGAGGTGGTCTTGTAGGCCAAGTTGCCGCAGGAAACAGGGCAGGGGACAGAGGCCGTGTTCCACGCCCCCCACTGCCCCCATCCGCCGTTCACGGCAGATGCTGAAACTGAGGTCAGAGTCATCTGAATCTTTGTTTTTCAATCCAGGGAAAAGTTAGTGATATATCGGAACAACACTCACTTAAAGAAAAACCTTAAATGAACATAATATAAACATAATATTAATCTATGCCTGAATAGGTATATCACAGTAATACATCACGGAACGTTAAAAAAGTAATTAGATTTATTGATCTCGTAGTTTACCGAATTGCCAGTTTGTTGCTTTAAAATGAGTTCTCATCAGCTAGTCAAACAAGTGTTAGAGAGTGAGTGAATGAGTTGGGATAGCGGCCCGAAGTGATGCAGGTCTCAGACATTTACCACTTTGGTGAAACCCACGAGCACGGGTACGATGCTGACAAACCCAGAAACATAATCGGGGCGAGCTAGGATTCAAACCCACAATCTAAGGTTTCTGGTTGCTCTGAAAAGCGAATTGCGACGTCTTAAACAACTGGGCCACCTATGTCCCCAAGTGTTGGAGAAAAGCAGCAGTTCATCACTAAAATGTTATGAACGTTTGTCTCGTTGTTGCATATTATTACAAGAAACCTCATTATGCTACATTTCAAACTCTTTTACATATGGACAGTACATTGACAGAGATCCCGAGTGGATACACTGGGTGTCTGACAGAGATCACCGGTGGACAGTGACTCAAACATACGTATTGGATTTCTGACAGAGATCCCGAGTGGACAGTGACACAGACATACGTACTGGGTGTCTGACAGAGATCCCGAGTGGACAGTGACACAGACATACGTACTGGGTGTCTGACAGAGATCCCGAGTGGACAGTGACACAGACATACGTACTGGGTGTCTGACAGAGATCCCGAGTGGACAGTGACACAGACATACGTACTGGGTGTCTGACAGAGATCCCGAGTGGACAGTGACACAGACATACGTACTGGGTGTCTGACAGAGATCCCGAGTGGACAGTGACACAGACATACGTACTGGGTGTCTGACAGAGATCCCGAGTGGACAGTGACACAGACATACATACCGGGTGTCTGACAGAGATCCCCGGTGTAGCCAGGTGGACAGTGACACAGACATACGTACTGGGTGTCTGACAGAGATCCCCGGTGGACAGTGACTCAGACATACGTAGTCGGTGTCTGACAGAGATCCCCGGTGTAGCCAGGTGGACAGTGACACAGACTTACGTACTGGGTGTCTGACAGAGATCCTCGGTGTAGCCAGATCGACAGTGACACAGACATACGTACCGGGTGTTTGACAGAGATCCCCGGTGTAGCCAGGTGGACAGTGACACAGACATACGTACTGGGTGTCTGACAGAGATCCCCGGTGGACAGTGACTCAGACATACGTAGTCGGTGTCTGACAGAGATCCCCGGTGTAGCCAGGTGGACAGTGACACAGACTTACGTACTGGGTGTCTGACAGAGATCCTCGGTGTAGCCAGATCGAAAGTGACACAGACATACGTACCGGGTGTTTGACAGAGATCCCCGGTGTAGCCAGGTGGACAGTGACACAGACATACGTACTGGGTGTCTGACAGAGATCCCCGGTGTAGCCAGGTGGACAGTGACACAGACATACGTACCGGGTGTTTGACAGAGATCCCCGGTGTAGCCAGGTGGACAGTGACACAAGCAGGGCATGGTGTTCTGGGTTCCTCCGTTCTCACAAACCTTGTTACAAGCTGAAATACATCCAATACATACAAATTCAGATAAAACAGAATAAGTTGCACTAGTGTTTATAGAAATGAGATTGCACTTGAGTTCAATTGAAAGTCACTACATAAACAGTTTCATAATTCAGGTTTGACGTGTTGTGTATTAAACAACGTTTGTATGAATCACTGGAGACGATGTAAACTATGGACTCACTTCTCGGGCACGTCCCGCACAGGTTAGGGCAGTCGTAGGGGAAGTTGGTGTACACCTCGCACAGACGTGGGTCGCTACAGAAGGGCCGGTCAACAGAAGGACACGCCACTTGGGTTGGAACACACATTGTACACGCATTACAACACACCATGAGAATGTCATGTCGGGGAACGATTATCTGATCCCTGACGTTTCTTGTTTTGATTTGTTGATCAATTTAATTAAATTATTTCCATTATAAACTTTAGGACAGGGTCATCACTGTCTAACTTTTCCGTGAAGTGAAAATTGTATTATTAGAGATAAATAATTATGTTATTATATGTGATGTATTTAAAAAGTCATGATACACGAGTTCGAGTACTATATATTAGCATTAAACTGGGACTGGCCTCAGGGTAATGGCAGTTCCAGCATGTTTGGTTCAAGTCTTTTAAACATCGGTTTGTTTGTTTCTTGAGTCTAAAGCAGTTTCCGGTTGCCCTAATCACACATACAATGTCTCAGTTTCACCCATTGGACCAATCACGTCTTCACCTTGACCTTGCATCAATGCGTCAAGCATTGCCCCTTCTTGACATATACCCTCCTTACTAACGTATCACTTGTCAAGCATTGCCCCTTCTTGACATATACCCTCCTTACTAAAGTATCACTTGTCAAGCATTGCTCCTTCTTAACATATACCCTCCTTACTAAAGTATCACTTGTCAAGCATTGCCTCTTCTTAACATATACCCTCCTAACTAAAGTATCACTTGTCAAGCATTGCCTCTTCTTAACATATACGCTCTTTACTAAAGTATCACTTGTCAAGCATTGCCACTTCTTGACATATACGCTCCTTACTAAAGTATAACTTGTCAAGCATTCCCCATTCTTAACATATACGCTCCTTACTAAAGTATCACTTGTCAAGCATTGCCCCTTCTTAACATATACCCTCCTAACTAAAGTATCACTTGTCAAGCATTGCCCCTTCTTAACATAGACCATCTTTACGACAGTACCAACCCGTGAAGCATTGCCCCTTTTTGGCATATACTGTCTTTATCACAGTGCAAACCCGCCAAGCAACGCCCCTCCTCTACCACAGTACCAGTACACTGCCTTTACTCACATGTTTCACAAGATGCCCCTGTAAAGTAGCCGCTAGTTGGACACTGGCACTGACATCGCGACTGGTCTAGATTCCCAGAGTTCATACACACTTTCCCGGAGCAATCTTAAAATAGAAATAATTGTGATTAGCTGTGTCAGCAACGGTCAAACTCCAAATATATCAAAGAAAACATGAACTACAACGAATATACACTCTTCAAAAAAAGAAACGCTAAGGACATACTGATAACGTTGATTTTGTTTATTCATGAAACATTCAATACAAATGCAATATTTGTTATAAGATGATATTTGTCACAAGTGCGTTAACTTAACTCGTTTCAAACTTTAAACAACAATTTTTATAAGACTGCACGAAAATGTCATGGAAATTAATTCAAGAGCAGCAGAATGCACGTGCAAGTTTGACAATCACGTGCAGTGACAATGACTATAAAAGGTCATTTTGTCAAACGTTTGTTGGCTTCGTGCCAATAGTGAATGCCGCCAATCGCAACATCGCCATAGGACGCCTTGAAGCCGGAGAGTCCCAGTCTGCAGTTGCACGTCAATTCAATGTACACCAGACCACCATATCTCGTTTCTGGGATCGGTATACCCGCCTCAATTCAACCCTAGATCGTCCAAGAAGTGGTAGATCAAGAGTCACCATCCTTGCACAAGATGGCTACATTCGGTCTGTTATCTACGTCATCGACATGCTACTGTCACCGACACTGCAGGACATATGCCTGGTTTGAGGAGCGTATCGGACCAAACATTCAGGTGTCGTCTGCGAGAGGTGGGAATTAGACCCAGAAGACCGGTATTTGTCCCGGTATTGAGACGTTTGCATCGACGACAACGTATGCGATGGAGCAACACCGTACAGGCATGGCCTCTGAGAACTGGAGGCGAGTCTGGTTCAGTGATAAATCTACCGACGTCGAAATGAACGTTTTACACCGAACTGCGTTCGACAGGTCGGCATATTCGGTGGCTGAAGTATGATGGTGTGGGGAGCCATATCCTACACACGGTGATCTGACTTGGTGGTGGTTCGGGGGAATCTGACAGCAAATCGGTACATCGAACAACTTCTTTAACGTCACCTTTTTCCGATTATCAACCGACAGAAGTTATTTCAACACGACAACGCTACACCACACACAACGCGTGTCACTTTGCCCTTGCTTTATAATTCAAACGTCAATGTCTTGCCATGTCCTTCCAGATCTCCGGATATGAACCCGATAGAGCAACTGTGGGGTGAACTCAATACACGTCATCGTCAACATGCGCCTAAGACACTTTTTTTAAGAGTGCACAATTAATAAGATCAGCAACGCCAACAAAATTTAAACAGGATGTAATACTAACCGCAAAGGCCTTGGGATGTTGTGGACAAACAGACGGGGCAGATAGCGGCGGGGTCACTGCTAGAACAGTACGGCTTGGAAAGCTCGTTGTAACCTTGTCTGCAACGACAACAACGCCAGCATTCTATTGAAACTGTCATTTCTTTTGGTATACGACACCTTTACTGTGATTAAATTCAATAATAAATGCTAGTCGAGATAATTAAATAGGTAATATCTAACAACGTGTATACTATTATATACTAGGTTTTGTTTGTCGAAATAAATACTATTCCACTTATATCGGTCCTTAAATAATTGAGTCGCAGCGAAACAAATCAGTCATTGAAATAAACAGTGTAATTATCAAACGTCAACGCTAGAAAATGATGAGTATTAATTATCTTCCGCAACAGATTTTATTGGGCGCATAAGGCAAAATATTGCGACATTTGTATGAATGGATCACTGAAAGTCAGTGAAGGCAGGCGTCGGGGTGCGATGACACAGCACAATCACCGAGCACATCTTATCCAAATAAAGACGCCACTTATAAGCAAAAAGGCGTTGCAATGGGGATAAATTCGAAACGCGCAGGGAATTCCTGTGCTCGGTTATACAACGTACTTACCCCCTGGCGTAGTTACACACATAGAACGGTGTCTGGAAGCCTTGGAAGCTACACATAGCTTGCCCACACCCTATTCTTGACACGAAGTCGTTGGTTATCTGTGAAATGTTATAAATCTGCCATCACGATTATATGAAAACAAAGTATCATATCAGCACTGGTTTCAGAATTGTTTATCATTCAACAGAGGTATGCAGTAGGTTCACCCACGAGGCGGTAGAAGCCTGTGGCAGTATGGCCAAGGTGGCCGTTGTGTGACGTTAGGTTTATCGCCGGTTTTAAACACCTTTGAATAAAATCACAAGGTATTATCAACGTAAAAAGGTCATCTATTGGAAAGAGGGAAAGTGTATACATTGATATTTTGTGTGTACTGGTAAGTTTTAGCGTCTCTGAGTACCTGGGTGTAATGTCTGACGTCAGAGCCGTTGACGGAACCGACGCCATATCGGAACCAGGCGACCTCGGCGTACCAGCCATCTGTGATGAGGGACAAGAAGGATGGCCAGCCCGACCCCACGTTCTGACCCAGAGATATCCCCGGCAGGGCTGGAGGGGGAAAGTGATGTTATAACGGTACTAATCTGTGTTGAAACAGTGATATCGTGTGAATAAGACAATGGTTGGTCCTTCCCAACCAGCTAATACTCATTGTAACTTGCCAAATCCATTGTAGGTTGTTTGTTTGTTTGTTTATTGTTTAACTCCGCACTCACCAATATTCCAGCTAAATGACGGCGGTCTGAAGATAATCCAGTCTGGACCGGGCAACCCAGTGGTCGATATTGTGAGCTACGTTCCCCGGGGTACAATGACACACTATCAACCAATACACCGAGCCTGACCACCCGATCAGTTCGGTCGCCTCTTACAACCAGTACAGGTTTCTAGGGACCTTGTATAACCAGTGTCCCCATGGGGGTTGTCAAAGAGGAGCATGCACTACTTAGAAATGTTAGAGGCGACTAACGGGATCGGATGGTCAGGCTTGCTGACTTGCTTGATGCATGTCATCGTACCCAATTGCGTGGATCGATGCTCATGATGTCAATAACTGGATTGTCTGGTCCAGACTCGATTATTTACAGACCGCCGTCGTATACCTGGAATATTAGTGAGTGTGGCGTTAAACGAAAAAACAAGAAGAACGAATTGTATTCAGTATTTTGACGCAACCACATCGTGAGAAGTGAGGTTTAAAGCAGTCTTTATGTGTCGCTTCGTCACATCATGGCCTGGTCATTTAATGCTGTTTGAAAACTCAAGATGACGCAGGTGGTAGGCGGTAACACGTTGCCCAATAACCGATAACGATCGGATATTTAACGATTCGATACCGCCCTCTGTCAAGTCTGACACACTGTCCAATGAAGATAACGTCGGGTCGTTTAGGCGAACTGTGGTTCAATATTAGGTACATGTGTATACAAGGGGTTCGAACCAATAAGATATCAGGCTTCTAAAACGATTCGGCTTCATTTTCAAACTGCCAGCCTTGGGCCGCACTGTGCGAGCTGTGTTTTGCTATTGAGAAGGGGCCAATGGTAAAGCGTTTGGCAGATCAGGATGCAATCAGAGTGAGAGATCTGATTGTATAAGATTGGAGCCGATAACAATATTTAAGTATTGCATTGTACAGTCTTATACCTGTATATGTGTACATTATGAAGCAGTAATCACTAGCATAGGCAGATGGTAAATATTTGTTCACGAATTGTCGGAACATTGTATGCATGGAGTGTAAAGGCTGTTTATGAAGATCGTTCTCAACGGTATCTTCCTTGTAGACCTACTTGGTATACTTCGTTTCAAAGGCGTGCTTTCGTGCCCATTTGTGCACTGCCTAGCCCACTTGGCGGCGACAACAGCAATATCCTCATCCCAAACCTACAATGACATGACATTTGTCATTAACTGGTGTCATGTTGATATACAGGCATCCGTGATCCCATACCTTTCACATGAGGGGTTACGGGCGGGTTCGAACAGAAAAAGAGGAAATTGAACAACCCTACGTTTTAAACTGACTCTCAAAATAAGTGGAACATCGGTGACATCCTTTGAGTCGGCACAACATTCATCGCCGAAAGAATTAAAATTGACAATGGAGTTTACAATGGTGGTAAATGCACACAGATTATGCAAAGAATAAAACATATATAAAAAACAAAATGGCTGATCGTAGGGCATTATTATGAAATGAACATGGATCCTAAACAAGCATAAGGAATACTGTTGTGAGGGAGTGGGGTTTTACACCGCTTTTAGCAAAATTCCAACAATATCACGGCGGGGACACCAGAAATGGGCTTCACACAATGCACCCATATGTCGGGAATCGAGCCCGGGTCTTCGGCGTGACGAGCGAACGCTTTAACCACTGGGCTACTCCACCGCCCCTTCATTTAGAAGTAAGAGATGAGAGAACAGTTACACAGGCAGACGTACAAAGTATGTACCCAAATAATTTTTATCCAATAAGGGAATTCTAAAACATCAGAAAAAAATGTAAAAAAGTGTACGTATATCGACTCCGTCAGGATTGTAATCTCTTCTCGTCTGGAATGATTCGGATTTGAAAATAACGGGTCGTCGTCACGATCACGATGTACATAAATACAGTCAAGTGATCATACCTTTTAGTTATGCCTAGAAATATAACCAAAGTTTATGTCTGCTACATGGGTCAACCCATATCCTTGGACATTGTAATTGCGAGAACATCAGACCGTTCAAACGAAAGTGAGTGAGATGGGTTTAATGCTGATTTGAACAGCATTTCAGTTCTATAAATGCATGTAAATTATTCGCATGTCGTAGACGAGTTAGTGAATATTGCTTAAGTTTACACCGCTTCAGCAATCTTGCAGCTATTGCAGCGTTTCACTGTTCGTCGTGGTAGACAGAGCCCACGCGTACGAGTATGGCGTAGACCACAGTCATAATCGGGACGGCTACGGGACTCGAACTCACCACCGGAACCTGGCAGGGCTAGTGGACGAACTTAAATGTAGTGAAATGCGGCACCGTAGACTGTGCCCCCTGCTCACTTTAACTAGATCTACCTATAAACTGTAGCCAACTTACAACAGCGAGCATGCTGGAAGCTCCCGGCGTGTTGGCCCGATGGTAGTTGTGTCTGTCCACAATGTCCTGCTGCTGCTGAGGGGTGAGAATGACTGGGGTGGCGACTGGACTGTCCGTCAGACACATGGTGTGGTCGGCCCGTAGGGAGGAGTAGCGGACATCACATGCCTGGGAAGTCAAATAGTCTCAACGCAACTATATATTCCGGGACATTTATTTATTTATTTTTACAGTGAGTGAGTGAGTTTGGTTTAACGCCGCTTTTAACTGTATTCCAGTTATATCGCGGCGTGTCAGCTTAATGTGGGAGGATAGCCCGAAGTTATGCAGGTTTCAGACGTTTATCACCCACGAAACCCACGAGCACGGGTATGGTGCTGACAAACCTAGAAATATAATCGGGGCGAACCGGGATTCGAACCCACAATCATAGGTTTCTGGCGTGCCCAAGGAACGCAGCTCTGCACAGCGAATCGCGGCGCCTTAGACGACTGGGCCACCCGTGCCCCCTTTTTTTACAATTAAACCCATGAGACTAAATATTTTGTCACGGTATAATAAGCCAAATGCAACTTGCAACTGGACCATTTTCTTATGTTTCAACAGTCTCAAGCAAAAATTAAGTATTTTTTTCAAGAAATTTCGGGGACAATTTATTCTTTCGTCGATAACCCCACTACACTTCTCCCAGAATATCCAATGGTCGATCCCTATAGGGTCAAGCATATGGATATCTATGGTAGAATTGGAGCCATCCTGGCTATCCAAACAAAACCTATCGCCATTTAAGCCCACATGATGCTGAACGCTTTTGACAGCATTAATGTAACAATATGCAAACAAAGATATCGCATACAACAGCATGAAAACACTGACACAACCAATAGTACGGTGGCCCATAAGGGACATGGAGTCTGTTTTTCCATATTTTGATATTTCACCTACTATTATCGTAACCTTTTGCAAATTAACACGATTTGTCTTACAAATATGTGATAAATCATGTGTAAAGAAGATATTGAATCGCTGAAAAACGAAACGAAAATGTCAAAAACTAAAATGAAAATGTCAAAAACACAAAACGAAAATGTCAAAAACTAAAATGAAAATACAGAAAACTATTTCCACCGCGGTGATAATATTTACACCGAGGTGAAAACTATTTCCCTCGCGGTGATAATATTTACACCGAGGTGAAAACTATTTCCACCGCGGTGATAATATTTACACCGCGGTGGAAATAGTTTTCTGTGAATTCATTTTAGTTTTGGACATTTTCGTTTTGTGTTTTTGACATTTTCATTTTAGTTTTTGACCTTTTCGTTTTGGTTTTTGACATTTCCATTTTAGTTTTTGACATTTTCACTTCACATTTCAGCGACTTAAAAGCTACTTAAAAGTACATTTTCTATGTTTTCGGATGTTTTTATACATGATTTATCACATATTTGTATGGAAGATTGTGTTAATTTGCAAAAGGTTAAGAAAAAAGTAAGTTAACATCAAAATATTGAAAAACAGACTCCATGTCCCTTATGGGCCACCGTACAATAGACATTATCTGCACTTGATGCAAAGAACACGTAGTTTCCAACAAGATTCTAGGTAGCAGATGGCAATAGGATGACAAAAATATCGCTTCAAAGCCTTTTTACTGTTTTTTTTCTGTCAGATAGTTTACAGGTAACCCTTCAATAATTTAGCTGCGTATGGAATCCTCTGGACACAAAGGTCGCGGCACTTTGTTGGTAATATTTGGTTCGATGGTTCGAACTTTAATTGTTCCGACTTTAACCTCAGGGAATGGACATCGATGATGTGCATATGCACGAAATACATCTCGTTCAGTTGTAAACCTTAACAGTACAAATGTATTGCTTTCAGTAACCTCTTTCAAACCTTACAAGTAGACTTCGAAATTACCGTCTATACATATGTTATCATTTGATTCACTGTGTTAAATACCCTAATTCCAGTTCCATACATATACAGGGATATATTTAATGATGGCCCAAGCATGGGTGTATATTTTGTTCCTCCGTATGTTAACCCTAACAGTCATCACAAACTGCCACAACAAATTATTAGCATTTAGGGCAATAACACCGCATCGGCGTTTTATTGTGTGAGTTAGTTTCAGACACGAACGAATAATGTTTCACGCCGCACGAGGCAAGAGTCCTGCAATTGGATTTGACAAATACTACAACGTCACCAGGCTGTTACAGACGCCGAAACACTGCAGACCTAAGCTCCAAAACACAACTTTGATACCCGTATCTAACACATCACCATCGAATTACCATTTCCTGTTTGTTTCATTTTAGCCACCACCAAACTTGGGTGCATTTTTTTCTTCACCTGGAATTACAGATTTACGTCTATGTAGAGAGGTAGTGCACAGGAAGTAGGGTAAAGTACTCACTGTCGCTCTTCTGCTGCGAACGTTACCTAAATAAAGAACGAATATAAAAAAACTTGATCATGGATGAAGCCATCATGTCCATTCAATAATTTGACTATGATTGTGTTTTCATGATTTAAATGTCGAAACGTAGTAATTGGTCGTTTCTTATTTAATGCCGCACTCAGCAATATTCCACTACAGCTATATGACGTCGGTCTGTAAATAGTCGCCACTGGACCAGAAGATCCTGTAATTGACATTACGAGCAATTAGATCAACGCAATTGTGATACGATGATATGCAATCAACCATGTTACCGGTCTTACGAGTGAGTGAGTGAGTGAGTGAGTGAGTGAGTGAGTTACAACAATTTCCCAGTTATATCATGTCCTGTCACCTTGATGTTGGGGGAAATCCCGTAGTGATTCAGATCTTAGACGTGTATCGCTTTGCCGAAACCCACGAGCACGAGAACAGAGCGGACAAACCTGGAACCGGGATTCCAACCTACGATCCAAGGTTCTGGCACTCCCAAAAGACACCCGATGAACCGAGTTCAGGCGCCTAAGACAAATGAACCACCTAATATCACTTTAGACAGCAGTAGTGGTATGGCGGTAGTGAGTGGATATGTCTTAACAACACTTTTATCAACATTCCAGACATATCACGGTTGGAGACAACAGATATGTTATGGTCTGTGTATTTATATTCGATTGTCTCAAGGACTTTGGGTTCACATGGTTACACTGTCTATTATTACCTTCAATGTTGATTTAATTTAAGGATTTTCACCTGAAAACCGGATCTGAACGTTGCACCACATTGACTTACCTTGTTGTTTTGAGGGTAACGTGCTAAGCAGGACAATACTCGCAACGAAGACAACATTGGTAAAACATCCCATGGCCGTATACTAGTATTCCACCTCGGGTATTGAACATCAGAGACCCTTAAACAAGTGCCCTTGCGCGTCAGTCTACTTAAATATACCCTTCTGAGTGTTTCCTATCACTGTCGTCAAGTTAACAGCATTGTCACAGCCATATACTCAATGACTCTACGTGTGTATATGTGTGGGCGTAGTGTGATAATGGCAGTCTTCCCTAGCTCCTGTTTGACCCCAGAAGAATGGACTTTAGCGTCCAGCTCAGTGACGACTCTATCAATAAATAAATAATTGAGAAACATTTCTCAAAAACCCGTTTGGTCCGAGTCGTGATTGACTTCGTGAAAGTTGGATTAGATGGGAAAAACAGGACGTTTTCCTCTGCCCACAGATCGAGTCTGTTCAATTACTTCATTGAGTACTGAACTTGAAAATCCGGTTCGATAAGGTTTTCAGTTTCATGTGGACGCCACTCCCAGAAAAAAATATTACTTCGCAAAACAAACATACCCACTGAGGTCAGCATGGGCCGCAATCTACTTTTGTTTGATAATATAGGTCAGCAAGTAATGGGTAGTTGTGGATTGTCACCTTTTTAAGTCCATCTGCACTTGAAATATTTGTGTGTGTTTGTGTGATTGAATGCGAGTTAACCAGCCACAAGCTATGTTCAAGATCCATCACGGTAGCAAGTAACTAATCGAGTCTGGGACGGGAAAACCAGTGGTTGATAACATGAACCACACTGGCGGGGTACGATAAAACACGATCGTAGTTCGATCCCCTGGCCGCGTCATACCAAAACGATGATATTTGTTGTTACTCTGGCTGACGCTTGGCATTGAAGGGTTAAAACAAGGGCTGGCTGGCTGGCTCGTAGTCAGTATAATGTGTGTGAATCGGGTATCCATGTTAAACTGCGGCATGCTCTATCAGATGGCTATCACTATGTAAACGACATACAGTTAAACACCGTTGTGTCGAACCTAAGAGTGTCGAACTTGCGGTTGTCCCGAAGTAAAAGTTTGGTCCCTGCGTATTCCTTCTTTTCGGTTGTGTCGATAACTCGAAGTATTTACGTAGGTTCCTTCAAGTCCTGATATAGCAAATACTCACGTGCATGCAAGTCGATATATAAATAATCTTTACCGCGACGTTAACCCTCTTTACGTCACAATGTCTACATGTCTGTACAAGTTAGATCCCTTCATTGTTGGTGAACTGCAAGACACTACGAGTGACCACATCTACATGTATAGCAGTCTCCGACACCGATCAGAACTCAAATCTGCGTTGGTTTATTAACGCCGCTTTTAACAGTATTCCAGTCAAATCACGGCGTGTCAGCTTAATGAGGGAGGAAAGCCCGAAGTGATGCAGGTCTCAGACGTTTACCACTTCGGTGAAACCCAGGAGCACGGGTATGGTGCTGACAAACCTAGAAACATAATCGGGGCGAACCGGGATTCGAACCCACAATCATAGGTTTCTGGCGTGCCCAAGTGACGCAACACTGCACAGCGAATCGCGGGGCCCCAGACGACTGGGCCAACCGTGCCCCCTTTGGGCACTAGGAACGAGGTGTGGTAGAACAAGAGTACTGATAGTGGTGGGGCAACGGTGTTGATATTAGTGGAACAAGTTGTTGGTAGTGTTGGAAAAAGGTATTGATAGTAGTGGAACAAGGTATTGATAGTGGAACCATGGTGTTGATTTTATTGGAATAAGGTGTTGGAAAAAGGTATTGATAGTAGATGAATAAGGTATTGATGGTGGAGCAATGGTGCTGATAGTGGTAGAAAAAGGTATTGAAAATAATGGAACAAGGTATTGATGGTAGTGGAACAAGGTATTGATATTGATAGTGGTGGAACAAGGTATTGATAGTGGTAGAACATTGTATTGATAGTGGTGGAACAAGGTATTGATAGTGGTGGAACAAGGTATTGATGGTAGTGGAACAAGGTATTGATATTGATAGTGGTGGAACAAAGTATTCATAGTGGTGGAACAAGGTATTGATAGTGGTGGAACAAGGTATTGATAGTGGTGGAACAAGGTATTGATAGTGGTGGAACAAGGTATTGATAGTGGTGGAACAAGGTATTGATGGTGGTGGAACAAGGTATTGATGGTGGTGGAACAAGGTATTGATGGTGGTGGAACAAGGTATTGATAGTGGTGGAACAAGGTATTGATGGTGGTGGAACAAGGTATTGATGGTGGTGGAACAAGGTATTGATGGTGGTGGAACAAGGTATTCATAGTGGTGGAACAAGGTATTGGTAGTGGTGGAACAACGTATTCATGGTTGTGGAACAAGGTATTGATGGTGGTGGAACAAGGTATTGATGGTGGTGGAACAAGGTATTGATGGTGGTGGAACAAGGTATTGATGGTGGTGGAACAAGGTATTGATAGTGGTGGAACAAGGTATTGATGGTGGTGGAACAAGGTATTGATGGTGGTGGAACAAGGTATTGATAGTGGTGGAACAAGGTATTGATAGTGGTGGAACAAGGTATTGATAGTGGTGGAACAAGGTATTGATGGTGGTGGAACAAGGTATTCATGGTGGTGGAACAAGGTGGTGGAACAAGGTATTGATGGTGGTGGAACAAGGTATTGATGGTGGTGGAACAAGGTATTGATGGTGGTGGAACAAGGTATTGATGGTGGTGGAACAAGGTATTCATGGTGGTGGAACAAGGTATTGATGGTGGTGGAACAAGGTATTGGTAGTGGTGGAACAAGGTATTGATGGTGGTGGAACAAGGTATTGATGGTGGTGGAACAAGGTATTGATGGTGGTGGAACAAGGTATTGATGGTGGTGGAACAAGGTATTCATGGTGGTGGAACAAGGTATTGATGGTGGTGGAACAAGGTATTGATAGTGGTGGAACAAGGTGTTCATGGTGGTGGAACAAGGTATTGATAGTGGTGGAACAAGGTATTGATGGTGGTGGAACAAGGTATTGATGGTGGTGGAACAAGGTATTGATGGTGGTGGAACAAGGTATTGATAGTGGTGGAACAAGGTATTGATAGTGGTGGAACAAGGTATTGATGGTGGTGGAACAAGGTATTGATGGTGGTGGAACAAGGTATTGATGGTGGTGGAACAAGGTATTGGTAGTGGTGGAACAAGGTATTGATAGTGGTGGAACAAGGTATTGATGGTGGTGGAACAAGGTATTCATGGTGGTGGAACAAGGTATTGATGGGGGTGGAACAAGGTATTGATGGTGGTGGAACAAGGTATTGATAGTGGTGGAACAAGGTATTCATGGTGGTGGAACAAGGTATTGATGGTTGTGGAACAAGGTATTGATGGTGGTGGAACAAGGTATTGATGGTGGTGGAACAAGGTATTGATGGTGGTGGAACAAGGTATTGATGGTGGTGGAACAAGGTATTCATGGTGGTGGAACAAGGTATTGATGGTGGTGGAACAAGGTATTGGTAGTGGTGGAACAAGGTATTGATGGTGGTGGAACAAGGTATTGATGGTGGTGGAACAAGGTATTGATGGTGGTGGAACAAGGTATTCATGGTGGTGGAACAAGGTATTGATGGTGGTGGAACAAGGTATTGATAGTGGTGGAACAAGGTGTTCATGGTGGTGGAACAAGGTATTGATAGTGGTGGAACAAGGTATTGATGGTGGTGGAACAAGGTATTGATGGTGGTGGAACAAGGTATTGATGGTGGTGGAACAAGGTATTGATAGTGGTGGAACAAGGTATTGATAGTGGTGGAACAAGGTATTGATGGTGGTGGAACAAGGTATTGATGGTGGTGGAACAAGGTATTGATGGTGGTGGAACAAGGTATTGGTAGTGGTGGAACAAGGTATTGATAGTGGTGGAACAAGGTATTGATGGTGGTGGAACAAGGTATTCATGGTGGTGGAACAAGGTATTGATGGGGGTGGAACAAGGTATTGATGGTGGTGGAACAAGGTATTGATAGTGGTGGAACAAGGTATTCATGGTGGTGGAACAAGGTATTGATGGTTGTGGAACAAGGTATTGATAGTGGTGGAACAAGGTATTGATGGTGGTGGAACAAGGTATTGATAGTGGTGGAACAAGGTATTGATAGTGGTGGAACAAGGTATTGATGGTGGTGGAACAAGGTATTGATGGTGGTGGAACAAGGTATTGATGGTGGTGGAACAAGGTATTGATAGTGGTGGAACAAGGTATTGATGGTGGTGGAACAAGGTATTGATGGTGGTGGAACAAGGTATTCATGGTGGTGGAACAAGGTATTCATGGTGGTGGAACAAGGTATTGATAGTGGTGGAACAAGGTATTGATGGTGGTGGAACAAGGTATTGATGGTGGTGGAACAAGGTATTGATGGTGGTGGAACAAGGTATTGATAGTGGTGGAACAAGGTATTCATGGTGGTGGAACAAGGTATTGATGGTTGTGGAACAAGGTATTGATAGTGGTGGAACAAGGTATTGATGGTGGTGGAACAAGGTATTGATAGTGGTGGAACAAGGTATTCATGGTGGTGGAACAAGGTATTGATAGTGGTGGAACAAGGTATTGATAGTGGTGGAACAAGGTATTGATGGTGGTGGAACAAGGTATTGATGGTGGTGGAACAAGGTATTGATAGTGGTGGAACAAGGTATTGATAGTGGTGGAACAAGGTAAAGATGGTGGTGGAACAAGGTATTGGTAGTGGTGGAACAAGGTATTGATGGTGGTGGAACAAGGTATTGGTAGTGGTGGAACAAGGTATTGATGGTGGTGGAACAAGGTATTGATGGTGGTGGAACAAGGTATTGATAGTGGTGGAACAAGGTATTGATGGTGGTGGAACAAGGTATTGATGGTGGTGGAACAAGGTATTGATGGTGGTGGAACAAGGTATTCATGGTTGTGGAACAAGGTATTGATGGTGGTGGAACAAGGTATTCATGGTGGTGGAACAAGGTATTGATAGTGGTGGAACAAGGTATTGATGGTGGTGGAACAAGGTATTGATGGTGGTGGAACAAGGTGTTCATGGTTGTGGAACAAGGTATTGATGGTGGTGCAACAAGGTATTGATGGTGGTGGAACAAGGTATTGATAGTGGTGGAACAAGGTATTGATGGTGGTGGAACAAGGTATTGATAGTGGTGGAACAAGGTATTGATGGTGGTGGAACAAGGTATTGATGGTGGTGGAACAAGGTATTCATGGTTGTGGAACAAGGTATTGATGGTGGTGGAACAAGGTATTCATGGTGGTGGAACAAGGTATTGATGGTGGTGGAACAAGGTATTGATGGTGGTGGAACAAGGTATTGATAGTGGTGGAACAAGGTATTGATGGTGGTGGAACAAGGTATTGATAGTGGTGGAACAAGGTATTCATGGTGGTGGAACAAGGTATTCATGGTGGTGGAACAAGGTATTGATGGTGGTGGAACAAGGTATTGATAGTGGTGGAACAAGGTATTGATAGTGGTGGAACAAGGTATTGATGGTGGTGGAACAAGGTATTGATGGTGGTGGAACAATGGTGTTCCAGGCTTGAAGGAATCTAGCTCCAACAGCCAATGAGACTGCTGTTCGGTTGTGCCGGGAGGCTGGAGTTCAAGTTACTGGGCAAAGATTAGACATCGTCTGTGTGCAGCTAATATGGATGCTCGGCTACCCCGTGTTAACAAATCGACACATTCTAGCCAGACGCCAACGCCAACGCCGAAGGTCTCATGTAATGTTTTAACAGGAGTCAGGAGTCACTCTGTACTTTCTGGATAGGCGTGGGCGTTTATGGAGGCGTCCTAACGAACATCATGCGAACATCGTCAACGCAAGGCAACACGACAGACGCTTTATAGTGGTTACGGCATATATAAGACTACTCGTACTTGTGTAACACTTGGGGAATCTGGAGAACAAAGTACGCCACGGGGTCTCAGCTTTATGTTGGAGTGAAAACAGTCACGCAGCTTGTTGACGTTCTTAAATGTGGTAAAACACACAACATGATCGAATACCTAGCTGTAATAAAACATCAATACCCTGGCAATGTCATCTCTACCCTACTCTGTGCCGCTCGTCAACAACACTGGCGGGCTCGACTGCAGGTTGGACGGGTACATTACATTTCCTACTGAGGGAAAGTTACCCGTGAAGACCTGGGTTAGGATAGGTCTGTCTACAGCAACATGTGCTTGCTGTAAGATGCGACTAACGGGATCGGGTGGTCAGACTCGCCGACTTGTTTGATGCATGTCATCGTATCCCATTTGCGTAGATCTATGCTCATGGTGTCAATCACTGGATCCCTGGTACAGACTTGATTGTGTACAAACCGCCGTCATATAGTTGGAATATTGCTGAGTGCGGCGTTGAAGAACAAACAAATAAACTAAACTAAGGGGAAGTAACTCTTGTCGCTTTAGCTGGCAGGCTGAAAATGCTGGTGGTCCAAGAAGCCAGGCGTCAGGCTAACTCTTCAAAGTATTTAACATCGATGTCAGATAGCAGACGGGTATGAAAAAGTAACAATCAAGATTGAATATTTCAGTTATATAATGACATGACGTTTTAATGCTGGAAAACCCCCAAAAAACGTAAGGTCGTAGAGTAAGTGAGTATGGTTTTACGCCGCTTTTAGCAATATTCCAGAATTATCAGGGCGGGCACACCAGAAATGGGTTTTACACTTGTACCACTGTGAGAATGAAACTCGGGTCTTCGGCGTGACGAGCTGACGTTTAACCGCCATATCACCTCGTTAGGTCGTAGACGTTTATCTCAAAAGGTGTGGACTGACAGAGGATCATAATTAAGAAGATCCTTGTATGGCAAAGGGGCGGAACTCTGTACAGTGACATGCGGCTCCTTAGACCTCATTGCATTCCATGCCCCAAGTCCAGTGCTCCAGAAAATATTTTGACCCATATAGTAATTACTCACATGAAATCATTCTCAGTGTGAATGTTTTTCTGTGGGTATCCAATAAATGTTTACTCCAGTAGATTGTGTATTTAAAAATAATGATTAGATACGTATAAAAACATAATTCTACCTAAAATGTTTTTTTGTGTGTGTCTTTATTTCGAATTTGTATCTGTTCACGTGCTGCCCCGAGTATGTCACATATCGCATACGTTCATATCAGCAATCGGTAAACGGGTAAAGATCCAGGTTAGAGTAGGTCCTCAGCAACCCCTGCTTGCGGTAAAAGGCGACTATGCTTGTCGTAAGAGGCGACTAACGGAATCGTGTGGTCAGGCTCGCTGACTTGGTTGATGCATGTCATTGATCCCAATTGCATGGATCGGTGCTCATGATATCAATCACTGGATTGTCAGGTCCAGACTCGATTTCTATCAAACCGCCGTCATTAAGCGGCGTAAAACAACAAACAAATATGATATCAACACTACATGTCCATGTTACAATAGGCAGGACGTAGTGTTTTTTCGCATACTTCAATCCAGTGTGGTTCGTGTTGGTGATGTCTGCATTCGACCAGTTAATAAGAGCATGCAAGAAAGTACAGGCACGCAAACTGAACAGGCCATATTGAGTAATAATTATTGTGCACTGTGCTGTTATATCAATTGTGTTTCATGTGAATTGAGTACGTAACCAACTCCAAAGTGGTTGGGTAATGTTGTACTTATTTGCCTATTTTACACAGACATATCTCGAGCCATGCAGGTAAGTATTAATGTTGATTTGAAATCTATATTTCATAGTATCTTCAAAGAGAGAGACAATCCTAGGTTTAACCCTTTTAAAGCTTATTTCCCCACATTGTTTCCAGTATGTTCATGTTTTCAAGCATCAGACATTGTTGTGTTGTTGTGCTCCCATTGTATGACATTCCACCACGCACGACGCCATTCCTGTCTGTGATTACACATGCCTGAATACACAGAACAAAATAATTAATTGGATTTCCGTGAACATTTTGTCAAATATTACAAAAAAAATAGTATATGCGTTTTAAAGTGTTCGAGTATAAAATATGAATCAATCGGCAGAAATACATGTGAGGACACCAATTACAAGTACTTGTAACGAAGGCCAATGTTTCTGCGAATTCGTGAGTTGCTTAAAACATTGAGACCTCATTAACTCGAATTCAGAAACTCGTTATGCCGGAGTTCGTTCATTACGCCGAAGACCAGGTTCGAATCCCCACGGTGTCATGTGTGAACATAATTATTGTAGTGGCCACAGTAATGTTACTGTTGGACTATAGATAACAGTCACCTTATACAATAGTCACTCAAATAAGGCCAAAATAAATGTACATACGTACATACACAGGAAAAACAAGTGCCAAATCGTGTGCTGTCACCCTGGGAAAGTGATTTATTTCAGATGTGCCTCTGTTCACCCAGCAGGGAATAGGTACCCGATAAGTGAGATGGATGTAAAAAAAACCTAGCGCCCGTAGGCAGCTTAGGTTGTATACTCCCCAGGGAGTTGAGAATGATAACTGGAATGCAAACGGATCCACTGGTCGGGGAACAAATAAAAAACGCATTTGATCAGATACTAGTACTTGGATACCTGCGGTATATAAATGTACAATATGAGAATGGTAATAAATAAAAAACAATAATAATAATAATATATTGTGTCCTTTCTGTGTAGTTCGAGTTGTCTGTTTACGGCGTTCTCTGTTGTGTATTGGATGGGGGAGACTAGGCCTCGCCTCCAGTCAGACAAGCAGGAACAACAGCACCTCAGCTGCTGGATAGACACGGCGTAATTAAGGGGCGGTCAGGTTGCCTAGTGGTTGAAGCGTTAGCTCGTCACGCCGAAGACCCGGGTTCGATTCCCGACATGGGTACAATGTGTGAAGCCCATTTCTGGTGTCCCACGCCGTGATATTGCTGGAATATTGCTAAAAGCGGCGTAAAACCATATTCACTCACTCCGTGTAATTAAACACGATAACGAGAGAATGCATTAAATTAATTAAAAAATATATATATATACAGCTATGATGATTGATATGAACGTCACTCCTTGATGTCGCGAACTGATGCGTTCACAGAAAACACAAAGACGATATTAAGCAAATATACATAACTTTATTTTTGTCAACTGCACGCACATGACGTGTTTTCACAACCATGTTATGTATTAACAACGAGGTTACACCATCTAGTCCACCAGTGCATCAATGCATTTACCTCAGATGTAACGACCACAAGTCAGTCGTTGCTCACTTAATTAAACTTCACACTATCTTATCATGCGCGGGTTTAGGCGGTTTGGTGCCAAGCGTTGGTTCGCCACGCCGAACACCACGTTTCGACTACCCGGATGTACAATGTGTGAAGTCCATTCTCGGGATCCCCTGTGGTTATTTAGCATGGATATTGCTCTAACCGGCGTATAAACATACTCTCAATAACGTAGGAAGGAGTGGTTCGCGTTTTGAATTCTGGTAGATTTGCTATATAGGATTAGTAGGGCGGGAATGAATGAATTAACGAGCAACTGTTGTCCTCCGTCTCTGACCAGTGTCGACCACATCGATATGTGTGGGAAACAGTGACACCAATATCGACAATGAATGTGTATAAATAGATTATCCCCGCCATAACAGTCATCATTAGGCCATTTTCATGTTGTTTGACATGTTGTTTTTGTTTTAAAGAGAAGCCTTCATTACATTTTACAAAAGTGAAAATAGCATTAAAACAAATATATTTTTGATAGGTTTTCCTTGAAGTTGGCGGATGACAAAGTAGACACAATTTATGGATAACAAATTACAAAAAGTTGTGACCCATAAATTGTGCCTAATTTTAAAACAAATATAGATTGTATTATTGCTTCAGTTTAATAATGTTTGCTTTCTTCTCTGAAGTATTATTACGGGAAGTCTGTTCTGGAGTATAAGTCTCAGATTAACACTGACAACCCCTCTTATGTTTATTTTGCCTCATGTCTCTTGTCATAACGGCCGAGAAATTCCTTTAACAAAAAGGAGCAATTTTGGCACAGTTGGAGATGATCACCAAGAAGAGGGGAAATGACGAGGATTTTACTGACGCATCTGTGACTTTTACGACCGAGTCAATTGCCGTATTTGGATCATTTATGGCTGTATAATGGTATGCCTAATTCAGGGACAAGGCCCTGTGTTGGTCATATTTCAAACATTTTCAAATATGTAAACTTCGATTCAATCAGAATTCGGCCCGACTAAGATCGATCAGATGGCGGCTGCTTGTTGATTAAGCGTTTACCGAGTGTGAATGTACAGTACATAGACTTAAGTGATGCCAGGTTTTGAGCGTTTCATGTTCTGATCGTAACATAGCACATGATGTTTAGATATATTTGATAATAGTGATTGCAGAACTGTGCAATATAGCATATACAACGTCTTGGCTACAATGTCAATATGTACAGAAATTATAAATACGTACTAAATATCTACCATCTTTAAAATATAAAATGTTCAAGTCTAGTTGGTATCGAAGCAAAAACTAAAATATACATACGTCTCGCACAAAATCATATCACAAAAATATATAAATCATAAATGCCTTTCTCGTTTCAAACATAAAAAAGCAACTGCACGGATAACATAAACAACGTATTTACAGTGTGATAAGCCATGGATGTGACCGTAACAACTGGCAACAAGAGGAAAATGTAAAATGAACACGCAAGCATTCAAGGATAAGGATGCATTCCTACCCCTCAACGTGGGTTTGACTTAAATGTGACCTTCAATCACGACACCGCGTAATCCGGACATGGCGTACATTGAAACACCGCTACAGTAACAGTACAAGTTTAACACACATATTTTCACTTGAGTGAAAAACAACAATCTGAAGAAAATAGTATTTTTTACATTTTCATCACATTTTGTATATAGTGAATCCCCGGTAGTCCGGAACCCCCGCATTCCGGGCGACTACTACTAGGAATATCTTAATTGAGGGAGCTTTACAATGTACCAGTAGTCACTTAGAATTGACATTTATTAATCCAAGCGATATCACTGAAACTGAACGGGGTATCACTGTTTATATTCTAAGGAGTACGTGAATTGATTTACTTTACATACAGTTAAGAATTATTACAGGGGTGTATGGAGTATGTATGCAAACCAGCTAAGAGTGGAACTCTCGGGGAGAGAGAGAGAGAGGGGGGGAGAGCGAGAGAGAGAGAGAGAGAGAGAGAGAGAGAGAGAGAGAGAGAAAGAGAGAGAGAGAGATCGAGGGAGAGAGAGAGAGAGCGAGGGAGAGAGAGAGAGAGAGAGATAGAGCGAGGGAGAGAGAGAGAGAGAGAGAAAGAGAGAGAGAGGGAGCGAGGGAGAGAGAGTGATGATGAAAACGCTCAGTGTCGGTCGCGAGGGGTTAACTCTGACCTTGTTGGAGCTTACTTCACAGCTTGGTACTAAGTGAAACCTCGTTAATCCGGACGGTAATGTAACCGGTGAAATCACCAAAGACTAATTAAGTTATATCGTTAACATACTGTGCATACGAGACGTTCATAACAGTAATAGTCCGGGGGTGGGGCTTCCGGATTAACGTAGTTCGGACTGACGAGGGTTCACTGTACTATCCAAAAAGGAATCAAGTAAACAATGGACAAAAGAGAAGCAACATTTACATTGGATTCACAAAAAAACAAATATGAACACCAAGGAGAGACGAATAGTTGACCTATGTCGACACTTAAAGCTTTGTGTGACTTCAAAAAACTTTAATAGCTTGAAACACACTTCTGTCATCGCTCCGAACCCACTCGTCAAATATTCTAAACTTACAAAGCTCTAATTCACTGAGTTGCTGAATGAATGAACAAAAGTATTTTCATCTCCGTACCGCTATGAAAATATTTACACCGTGAAAACCTGTACAAGCGATGAAGTTACATTGTAAGGGAGACAACTCACATTGTCTAAGCAACATAGATCTATCCTTAGGATTTTAAATCCGCTTCAAACACTGTCGTTCACTGCGATAATCGAGATTTCCTCCTATTCATCCGCTTTCTGAAAAATAAGAAATTATATAAGAGATTGTAACATCATCGAATTGAGGAAACATGAAATCTCATACGAACATACGTATCTTGTGGGAGCGTGTGAAGGCAGGCCCTACTATGCAGTCGACAGCCATCACGATTTGTAACGGGAAGATTGGTAGGACACAGCATAGATGAGCCACTTCAAAGACAATCAGTTCCTCATCATCTGTAAACTCATTGTCTGCCATGCAACGTTCTTCCAGTCCGTTATTCCGTGTCTTGTCGGATCAGTGATCACTCTAATCTAGCTCGCCTGTCTGGTATCAATCATATAACACTGTTTAAGCATTAAATAATCTAGTGGCGTATCTTCATATACTGAACTTAGTGGAAGCTGGACCTTTCAGAAAGTGAGCAGACAGTTGAGCGGTGAGTGGTGGACACGTTGGTGAGTGAGTGAGTTGATGAGCAAGTTGGTGTTTGAGTGAGTGTGTGCAGGGTACCTTAGTGTTTGAGTGAGTGAGTGAGTGGGTGCGAAAGTGGTGTTTGAGTGAGTTTGTTAGTCGGTGTTTGAGTGAGTGAGTGAGTGGGTGGGTAAAGAGGTGTTTGTGTGAGTGTGTGTGTAAGTTGGTGTTTAAGTGAGTGGGTGTCTTGGTTGGTGGTTGAGTTGGTGGGCGTGTAAGTTGGTGTTTGATTGACGGAGTGGGTTAGTCGGTGTTTGAGTGAGTGAGTCAGTGGGTGTGAAAGTTGGTGTTTGATTGACGGAGTGGGTTAGTCGGTGTTTGAATGAGTGAGTCAGTGGGTGTGTAAGTTGGTGTTTGATTGACGGAGTGGGTAAGTCGGTGTTTGAGTGAGTGAGTGAGTGAGTGTGTAAGTTGGTGTTTGATTGACGGAGTGGGTTAGTCGGTGTTTGAGTGAGTGAGTGAGTGGGTGTGTAAGTTGGTGTTTGATTGACGGAGTGGGTAAGTCGGTGTTTGAGTGAGTGAGTGAGTGAGTGTGTAAGTTGGTGTTTGAATGACGGAGTGGGTAAGTCGGTGTTTGAGTGAGTGAGTGAGTGAGTGTGTAAGTTGGTGTTTGATTGACGGAGTGGGTAAGTCGGTGTTTGAGTGAGTGAGTGAGTGGGTGTGTAAGTTGGTGTTTGATTGACGGAGTGGGTAAGTCGGTGTGTGAGTGAGTGAGTGAGTGAGTGTGTAAGTTGGTGTTTGAATGACGGAGTGGGTAAGTCGGTGTTTGAGTGAGTGAGTGAGTGAGTGAGTGTGTAAGTTGGTGTTTGAATGACGGAGTGGGTAAGTCGGTGTTTGATTGAGTGAGTGAGTGGGTGTGTAAGTTGGTGTTTGATTGACGGAGTGGGTAAGTCGGTGTGTGAGTGAGTGAGTGAGTGGGTGTGTAAGTTGGTGTTTGATTGACGGAGTGGGTAAGTCGGTGTTTGAGTTGGTGGGTGTGTAAGTCGGTGTTTGAGTGGGTGGGTGAGTGTGTAAGTTGGTGTTTGATTGAAGGAGTGGGTAAGTCGGTGTTTGAGTGGGTGGGTGTGTAAGTTGGTGTTTGATTGACGGAGTGGGTAAGTCGGTGTTTGAGTTCGTTGGTGGGTAAGTTGGTGTTTGATTGACGGAGTGGGTTAGTCAGTGTTTGAGTGAGTCAGTGGGTGTGTAAGTTGGTGTTTGATTGACGGAGTGGGTAAGTCGGTGTTTGGGTGGGTAAGTTGGTGTTTGCTTGACGGAGTGGGTTAGTCGGTGTTTGGGTGAGTCAGTGGGTGTGTAAGTTGGTGTTTGATTGACAGAGTGGGTAAGTCGGTGTTTGAGTTGGTGGGTGTGTAAGTTGGTGATTGATTGACAGAGGGGGTAAGTCGGTGTTTGAGTGGGTGGGTGAGTGTGTAAGTTGGTGTTTGATTGACGGAGTGGGTAAGTCGGTGTTTGAGTTGGTGAGTGTGTAAGTTGGTGTTTGATTGACGGAGTGGGTAAGTCGGTGTTTGAGTTGGTGGGTGTGTAAGTTGGTGTTTGATTGACGGAGTGGGTAAGTCGGTGTTTGAGTTGGTGGGTGTGTAAGTTGGTGTTTGATTGACGGAGTGGGTTAGTCGGTGTTTGAGTGGGTGGGTGAGTGTGTAAGTTGGTGCTTGTGTGGTAGGTGTGTAAGTTTGTATCAGAGTGAATGGATGGGTAAGGTAGTCGTGATGAATCAAACCAGGATCTTCGTCGTTACAGGCGAACGCGTGAACTATTAGGCTACCCCCCTCCACCTACCCAACCTCCCACCCCACTACGGCTTAATTTCAGAGAACGCTGAATGCATCTTTTTATTTCGTTCATACCTTTTCCGTTTTAGGGCTGTTTTCTTGCGCTTTCCAATCTTGTTTGTTTTCTTTAGACTAGGTCTGCCTTTATGGACGCCATTTTTACGTCGGCGTCCCGGTGATGGTGGTCGGTGAAGTCGCCGGTCCCATTTCTATAAAATAAAGATTCATTGTTACTCGAACTTGGATTTGACGTATTACCACTATGACTTAGCGTCTCCCAACATGATTTGAAAACAAGAAGTGATCATGAAGATAGTTTTTATGATGTTATGTCATAATCGAGTATTCAGAAAATCAAGAGAAGCAAACCGGCTGGCAAGTTTTCTTCAAGTCGTTAAAACATCACTTTGTCTGCTAATATATATTGGAAACTTATAAAACTATTCCCAATAAACTTGGTATCACGACCCGATTATTGTGCCATCGAGGTCACCAAGGAGCTACTTTCAAGATCAATACATCGATGCAATGCCTTCTTTCTCAGTACACCGATGGCTAACGTTCTCAATATGCTAAGAAAGGGATCCCCAATGTGTCGCCGTGTTTTTTAGGCAAATGATTTGGCACTATACGTTATTTGGGCGGTCGGCTCTAACAATGTATTATACACTTACTTCACAGAGTGAAAGTAAAGTCACATTATTTTAAGGGACATTATATTATAAAGAAATTATTACCCTCGTGTGTTTCCGCATCGTAGAGGGTAATAATACAATGTTGTATTTCCAATATATGATATCTAGATATCAGATACTAGGAATACACGACATGTACAATGTTTTATTCCTAATATATGATATCTAGATATCAGATACTAGGAATACTCGACATGTACAATGTTTTATTCCAAATATATGATATCTAGATATCAGATACTAGGAATACACGATATGTACAATGTTTAAATTCCAAATATATGATATCTAGATATCAGATACTAGGAATACACGATATGTACAATGTTTAACTTCCAATATATAATATCTAGATATCAGATACTAGGAATACACGATATGTACAATGTTTTATTCCTAATATATGATATCTTGATATCAGATACTAGGAATACACGATATGTACAATGTTTTATTCCTAATATGATATCTTGATATCAGATACTAGGAATACACGACATGTACAATGTTTTATTCCAAATATATGATATCTAGATATCAGATACTAGGAATACACGATATGTACAATGTTTTATTCCAAATATATGATATCTAGATATCAGATACTAGGAATACACGATATGTACAATGTTTTATTTCCAATATATAATATCTAGATATCAGATACTAGGAATACTCGACATGTACAATGTTTTATTCCTAATATATGATATCTTGATATCAGATACTAGGAATACACGATATGTACAATGTTTTATTCCTAATATGATATCTTGATATCAGATACTAGGAATACACGACATGTACAATGTTTTATTCCTAATATAAGATATATAGATATCAGATACTAGGAATACACGACATGTACAATGTTTTATTTCAAATATATGATATCTTGATATCAGATACTAGGAATACACGATATGTACAATGTTTTATTCCTAATATATGATATCTTGATATCAGATACTAGGAATACACGATATGTACAATGTTTTATATATATATGTGTGTGTGTGTGTGTGTGTGTGTGTGTGTGTGTGTGTGTGTGTGTGTGTGTGTGTATGTCTGCTTGTACTAGTCCGAACTAATGCCGATTTTATAGTGCTAACCCACTGAGAGCCCATGCCACAGTTTAACATGTATACCCCAATCAGACACTGACTCTGAGCCGACCAGTCCTTGTTTTCGCCCCTTAACACCGAGTGACAGTCAGGGTAACAACACGTACCATCTTTTAACGTTCCGCTCTCCGGGCAGACACTCTACCACTAAACCACGGTGGCGGTCCGGCTCTTGTTATGGATACGACAGGTACATATGTTCTGAACAGGAATCTCCATGGAGGCATTGACGTGTTGTAACAACGAGGGCGTGAAAGGCGTGCGCGCATCCCGAAACCCCTACCCCCCACCCCGACCCCCGGTGCTATAAGGACTTCCAAAGTAAAATCACTTTGTGCAACAAATCACCCATGTCCACAAACCAAATTATGGAGCGTCCCTTAGGCGTGTTGAAGTCCGCTGATCGTTGGCTCGAATCCCAGATTGACCTGGATTCTTGGTTTATCAGCACTATGCTCATGCTGGTCTGACCATAGTGGTAAACATCGGCCCTCCCTCCCACATCAAAACAGACCAGCCAAGGTACAACAAATATTGCTAAACTCGGAGTGAAACCCAACTCATTCACAATACGTTGTCATTGCTGAAAGATGTGTTCGGTGCCTGAAGTTAACCGGGCATCCTATCTTCAAGGGGGATCTGAGCGTCTCCAAGCAGCAACGCTAACGAGAAGGAGATGCATTTTAGAGTGTCATACACACAGACCCCGATAACGTTTGTTGAGAGTCATATCAGGGCACACGGCACTTGACTATTCCGACAAAACACTCACGAAGATAAGGCTATCATATTAAGACAGATAACCTTGCGTTTTACTGAGAAATCCATTACATCATTTACCAGTAAATCCCGGCATTAAAGTTGTCTGGTGACGAGTGAGTGAGTTTACTTTGATGCCGCTTTTAATTTATTTATTGTTTCACAGTTGTAGGAAAGCCTTAAACGACGAGATTTTAGTGAATCCAAGACGCGTGAAGATTAGGGTTAGAATAGGTCTCTAACAGGCGGCTATGCTTGTCGTGAGAGGCGACTAACGGGATCGGATGGTCAGGCTAGCTGACTTGTTTGATGCATGTCATCGTATCCGAATTGTGTAGATCGATGCTCATGGTGTCAATCACTGGATTGACTGGTCCAGACTCAATTATTTTCAGACCACCGTCATATAGCTGGAATATTGCCGAGTGTGGCGTTGAACAACAAACAAACAAACAAAGTGAATCCAATGAGAACGAGTATGGTGTTGACAGAGAGTGAGTGGGTTGCATTGCATAGTGTTTCAGTGATACCACGGTGTGTCAAGGTAATGTAGGAGGGGGCCAACCTGATGTTGATCATAGACCTTTATGGTAATGTGAAATGGGGTTTAACGTCTTGCACTATCATACCGACGTGCATGCAGGTATGGCTGCTTGTACTAGTCCGGACTAAGAGTCCGCAGTTTAACATGAATACCCCAGTCAGACACAGTATACTGACTCCAAACCGACCAGTCGTTGTTTTAGCTCCTTAATGACGAGCGCCATACAGGGTAACAACAAATACCATATTTTAACGTCTTTTGGTATGACGCGCCCGGGGATCGAACCCCGGACTTTCCGCTCTTCGGGCGGACGCTCTACCACTAAACCACGGAGGAGGTACAGACCAAGAGTAATAGTCGGCGTGATCCGGAGATTCGAACGGATCCTGGTAAGGCCACGGGACACTACTTGTGACTTATCGCGCCCAATTATTTACCAAATGTGTTATTATCTGAACTTAAATGCTTAATGGACAAGTGGCAGCTACATCATTAAGACATTTCTATACAGTGAAGGAAGGGGGTGGGGTGGGGTTTATGTCGGGGTGGGGGAACGTCGTCCTTCTGATCGTGGGTTCTTACCTGTATCTTCTTGATCCACTTGTCCTTCCATTTGGCGGCTATGGTGTTAGGCAGCAGAAGGAGTCTGTTCAGGCGCTTGTCCTCGTGGCCCAGGATGAGGTACTCCCGCCCCCTCTTGACGGAGGGGCACAGGCAGCTGGAGTTGCTCCACAGGTCCACCTCGCTGGTCAGTCCCACCTTGCCGCAGTGTATCACATTGGTCACCTGCACCCGGACCTTCATCTGACCACCACTGTTTAACTTCTTCCGGACCACGCGAGCTCTGATTGCTGAAGGATAAAGGGATGAGTGAGTGAGTGAATAGGGTTTTCGTGCAGGGCGAGTTTGGGGTACCTGGGTTATTTTCTGACTCGGGATACCCTCGGAAACAACGTTGTGGGGGAGGGGATGGGGGGCTGATTGTGTCAGACCTATCTATACTTTTCTTATCCGTAAAGAGGCACGGGTGGGCAAGTCATCTAAGGCTCCGATATTCGCTGGACAGAAATCTATTATCCTATTTTGGCGTACCAGAAACCTATGATCATTCGTTCGATTTGCAGAGTTGCTCTTATCATGTTTCTAGGTTTTCATTGTCAGCATCGAAATCCTGCATCAGTTCGGGCCTTTCTCCCACAGCTGATACGACGGGTTATAACTGAGAACAGTTGCCTTAAGCCCGAGCTCTTACAGACCCTGATACAAATATATGAAATACAGCCCATGCAAGTCTATAATGTTTGGCAAGTCTAGATTTCTGCAGTATCTGAAAATGAAGAGAGTCTCTGGGCTCCTTTTTATTATTTTTTAAAGAAAATTTAACAACTGGTTTTTTTTTCTGTACGATATATTCATTTTAGAGACTAGATGTTAGTCTAGCACATTTGCAGAGGCACGTTTGTCACAATAATCTAAGGCGCTGTAATTTGCAGAGTCGTGTCCCCATGGAGTGCCAGGATCCGCTCCTGGTCGTGAGTTGACCCTTGGTTTGTAACACATGCATGCACCTTAACAATGTTTGTGAGTCTAAAGCGATTAAGGTTGAGGCAAATGCCACTTTGGGCTTACCCTTGACGTGCCGTGATATAGCTGAATTACTGTACAAAACGGCGTTATACACTCAGTCACTCACTGACCAGCTCTTCACATCTGTCGTCAGTTACACACCGCCTACTTACCATAATCATAGTGATGCTTTCTGTAACTCCGCCATTTTGGACGAAGACGTTTTCTGCATTTGCAATCTGAAAAATATTAAGCGCAGTGAAATACATGGTACATTGGAAGGTTTTTGTTTTAGCTCATTTAAAAAAAACACTTTTACGAATATACCCGAGCATATTACCATCCAACTACAGTCACAGAAACAATGTGAATATGACATTTAAGCACGAGCCACTAGGTGTTTATTGATATATCATAAGTTCAGTGACCACATGTTTCTTCTTGAGTCACAGTTGCTCTAAATATGGATTTCTACGTTACACTTCTGAACAATCCACCCATGCAGTGCCGGTGTCAGAGAGTGGAATTTCCCCCCTAGCCTAATTTCCCCCGGAAAAAGGGCTATATAGCCAAATTTCCCCCGGAAAACTGGCTATATAGCTATACTTCCCACGGAAAGCACACTATATGGCAATATTTCCCACCCGGAAAATACACTATATAGCCAATTTTCCGCTTTGGAGTCAGATTTCCCCCATAATTAAATATATGTCTATTATCAAAAGTACCTAGATGTACATTTGGCTGATGGGGTAATTTACAAGAGAAACCATGATTAAAATCTTGTGTTTTTTTGCGCTATACGTTCTTAATTTTAATAAATAGAGGATAGTTCATTTCGACAGTGAGATATGGCGGATCTGTCACTCGACAGATCAGATCAGCCTTTTGTCACTGACGAAATGAAATGTTTTATTTATTATATATTTATTTAGTAGGGTATGTGTTGTTGTTTTATTTTTATTTTGTTGTTGTGTATTTGAGGTAAATCAGCGAATCTAAAATCTTCCAACTGTCTTCAGTAACAATACGTCACATTGCATGCAAGAAGTTCGCTTTTGCCATTGCTGTTTGATCAATGTTTGTTAAATGGTGCAGTAGGTTATGTTTTTTAATACTGCATTGAAAAATCTGAGGGATATAGGGGAAATTCTTCTATATAGCCATACTTCCCCCTTGTATTAAGGGGGAAAATCTGACTCTAAAGCGGAAATATGGCTATGTAGTCATTTTTCCCCGGGGGAAATTTAGCTATATAGCCCTTTTTCCGGGGGGAAACTAGGCTATATAGCCCTTTTTCCGGGGGGAATTTGGGCTAGGGGGAAAATCCCACTCTCTGACACCGGAGTAACCCCCGTCCCCGGCATGCGTAGTGTGTTAGTCTCTCACAGATTATTCCGTCTCAAGACTGCAGTGTGTTACTCTCTCCCCCTCTCTCACATTATTCCGTCCTAAGCCGGTACCGGTGTTGTGTGTTACTCTCTCACATTATTCCGTCCCAAGCCGGTACCGGTGTTGTGTGTTACTCTCTCACATTATTCCGTCCTAAGCCTATGTAGTGTGCTTCTCTATCAATCATTATTCCGTCCCAAGCCGGTGTAGTGTGTTATTTTCACATTATTCCGTCCCATGCCTGTGTATTGTATTACTTTCTCACATTATTCCGTCCCAAGCCTGTGTAGTGTGCTACTCACTCACATTATTCCTTCCCAAGACTGTGTTATTTTCACATTATTCCGTCCCTAGTCTGTGTAGGGTGTTACTTTCTCACATTATTCCGTCCCTAGCATGTGTAGTGTGTTACTTTCTCTCACATTATTCCGTCCCTAGTCTGTGTAGTGTGTTACTTTTTCATTATTCCGTCTCTTCTCTGTGTATGGTGTTACTCTCACATTATTCCGCTCCTTCTCTGTGTAGGGTGTTACTCTCACATTATTCCGTCCCTTCTCTGTGTAGTGTGTTACTCTCTCCAGATTATTCCGTCCCTTCTCTGTGCAGTGTGTTACTTTTTCATTATTCCGTCTCTTCTCTGTGTATGGTGTTACTCTCACATTATTCCGTCCCTTCTCTGTGTAGGGTGTTACTCTCACACTATTCCGTCATTTCTCTGTATAGGGTGTTACTCTCACATTATTCCGTCCCTTCTCTGTGTAGGGTGTTACTCTCACATTATTCCGTCCTTTCTCTGTGTAGTGTGTTACTCTCTCTCACATTATTCCGTCCCTTCTCTGTGCAGTGTGTTACTTTTTCATTATTCCGTCACTTCTCTGTGTAGGGTGTTACTCTCACATTATTCCGTCCTTTCTCTGTGTAGGGTGTTACTCTCACATTATTCCGTCCCATCTCTGTGTAGTGTGTTACTCTCACATTATTCCGTCCTTTCTCTGTGTAGGGCGTTACTCTTACATTATTCCGTCCCTACTCCGTGTAGTGTGTTACTCTCACATTATTCCGTCCCATCTCTGTGTAGTGTGTTACTCTTACATTATTCCGTCCTTTCTCTGTGCAGTGTGTTACTCTCACATTATTCCGTCCCTACTCCGTGTAGTGTGTTACGCTCTCTCACATTATTCCGTCCCTACTCCGTGTAGTGTGTTACTCTCTCTCACATTATTCCGTCCCTTCTCTGTGCAGTGTGTTACTCTCACATTATTCCGTCCTTTCTCTGTGTAGGGTGTTACTCTCACATTATTCCGTCCTTTCTCTGTGTAGGGTGTTACTCTCTCTCACATTATTCCGTCATTTCTCTGTATAGGGTGTTACTCTCACATTATTCCGCCCCTTCTCTGTGTAGGGTGTTACTCTCACATTATTCCGTCCTTTCTCTGTGTAGGGTGTTACTCTCACATTATTCCGTCCTTTCTCTGTGTAGGGCGTTACTCTTACATTATTCCGTCCCTACTCCGTGTAGTGTGTTACTCTCTCTCACATTATTCCGTCCCTTCTCTGTGCAGTGTGTTACTTTTCATTATTCCGTCCCATCTCTGTGTAGGGTGTTACTCTCTCTCACATTATTCCGTCCCTTCTCTGTGTAGGGTGTTACTCTCACATTATTCCGTCCTTTCTCTGTGTAGGGTGTTACTTTTCATTATTCCGTCCCATCTCTGTGTAGGGTGTTACTCTCACATTATTCAGTCCCAAGCCTGTGTTTTATGTGAAACTCATATTATTCCGTTCAAAGTGTGTTAATCTCTCACTTTATTCCGTTCCTAGCCAATGTAGTGTGTTACTCTGTTACATTATTTCTAGACCCATTTGATTAAGATTTACGCACGTATATTTACAGACATGACACGGCATAAACTTATCAATGGTTCATCTTGATTGAATATCCTTGCCTTACAGTACGCCATCTTATGTAAAGCCAACTCACAAGACAATCAGAAACGTCTCGGAAAATAAATGAATCGCTTCAAATGAATGGAGCACTGTTATTGGCCTATAATTATTTGTACTGGGACGTGAGGAATGGTCGGATCGCGTGCACACCTGCAGATAGCCGTCTTATTGTTTCTTATGTCACAAGACACCACCTTCAATCGCCGTAACAGATAAATATACAGGGCTCTCGGCGTTCCTGGAAGCCACAACATGCTTCAAGTTGAAGCACACACCAATTAAACTAAAATGTTAATTCTCAGTGACGCAACCATTAAGTGTGGAATAAATATGGCCAACAAACACTACCGTACTTCCTCAAGAACCCGGGCCCTTATTCATTCCATCTTACTTTTAGACACACCCCTGGTTCATTCCATCTTACTTTTAGACACACCCCTGGTTCATTCCCTCTTACTTTTAGTCTTATCCCTGATTTATTTCATCTTACTTTTAGACACACCCCTGGTTCATTCCATCTTACTTTTAGACACACCCCTTGTTCATTCCATCTTACTTTTAGACACACCCCTGGTTCATTTCAGCTTACTTTTAGACACACCCCTGGATCGTTCCATCTTACTTTTAGACACACCCCTGGTTCATTCCAATTTACTTTTAGTCACATCCCTGATTTATTTCATCTTACTTTTAGACACACCCCTGGTTCATTTCAGCTTACTTTTAGACACACCCCTGGTTCATTCCATCTTACTTTTAGACACACCCCTGGTTCATTCCAATTTACTTTTAGTCACATCCCTGATTTATTTCATCTTACTTTTAGACACACCCCTGGTTCATTTCAGCTTACTTTTAGACACCCCACTGGTTCATTCCATCTTACTTTTAGACACCCCCCCTGGTTCATTCCATCTTACTTTTAGACACACCCCTGGTTCATTCCAATTTACTTTTAGTCACACCCCTGATTTATTTCATCTTACTTTAAGACACACCCCTGGTTCATTTCAGCTTACTTTTAGACACCCCCCTGGTTCATTCCATCTTACTTTTAGACACACACCTGGTTCATTTCAGCTTACTTTTAGACACACCCCTGGTTCATTTCACCTTACTTTTAGTCACATCCTTGATTTATTTCATCTTACTTTAAGACATGAAACTTATTTATTTCAACTTTCTTTTAGTCACAGCCCTTATTACTTTCATCTTACTTTAAGACATGAAACTTGTTTATTTCAGCTTACTTAGTCACAGCCCTGATTTATTTCATCTTACTTTAAGACATAAAACTTGTTTATTTCAGCTTACTTAGTCACAGTCCTTATTACTTTCATCTTACTTTAAGACATAAAACTTGTTTATTTCAGCTTACTTAGTCACAGTCCTTATTACTTTCATCTTACTTTGAGACATGAAACTTGTTTATTTCAGCTTACTTAGTCACAGTCCTTATTACTTTCATCTTACTTTAAGACATAAAACTTGTTTATTTCAGCTTACTTAGTCACAGTCCTTATTACTTTCATCTTACTTTAAGACATGAAACTTGTTTATTTCAGCTTACTTAGTCACAGCCCTGATTTATTTCATCTTACTTTAAGACATAAAACTTGTTTATTTCAGCTTACTTAGTCACAGTCCTTATTACTTTCATCTTACTTTAAGACATGAAACTTGTTTATTTCAGCTTACTTAGTCACAGCCCTGATTTATTTCATCTTACTTTAAGACATAAAACTTGTTTATATTTCAGCTTACTTAGTCACAGTCCTTATTACTTTCATCTTACTTTAAGACATGAAACTTGTTTATTTCAGCTTACTTAGTCACAGCCCTTATTACTTTCATCTTACTTTAAGACATGAAACTTGTTTATTTCAGCTTACTTAGTCAC